CACTTGGCAAATGTTAACTCAATCATTCACTGTCTTTTTTAGCTGTGTTTTAGCTGCTAAATCCTTCACTGTGTTTACTACACTTGAACAACGCCAGCATGTCTGACTAAGGCTGTCTATTCCCAGTGTCCACAGCCTTGCTTAATGCATGGAACTGATGCTGTATGTCCTTAAGCACTGCAGACAGATTGCAAACAGAAAGACAAGAGATGAATATGTGGTAATGCCTTGGATTAAACTACACTATGATTATCAGTTTTTAGAGGGATTGACATGACTGTTTTGTTTCCCAAACCTGAATCCAAACTAAACAATCATCTACTGAAAGGTCTTCAATGTTAGAAAACAAAAGAAAGAAACAAAAGATAAGAATGATACAAAACATTACTGTAAATAGGGATTTTACTTGTTTTAAGAGAAAACACTCAAAGTTGTACATGTAGATAAATGAATCTCCTGTGGGATTGTTTTCATCGTGCTGTCTTTTGATTTAAAAAAAAAGACACTGATCAAATACCAAAAAATGTATTCTCACTCATGATGTTAAGAGCACATACATTCTATAGTATAATTATGCAACTAGGCTATATACTTAGTTTGTTTTCTTATCAGAATTGGCCAGAGGAAATCAAAATTTCTAGCTTTCTATTTCAAACTGTTACATTCACCACATTACATAATTATTGGTAAACCCAACAACCACAGTTGAAAGTTGAAAGTTGAAAGCTGTACACACCAGCAAGCTATAATAACGCCAGTGACACAACTTCCTAAAAAGCCTTAAACACCATATATTGTTTTCTGTCTAATTTTACACACACAGCAATAAAGCCAACCAGCTTTTGAGACCGAAGTTTATGTATATTTTCAACAATCCAACGAAAAAGACAAAACAACAAACAGTACAAAGTGATGACTTTCAGAAAACAGACATTCTGAAGGCTGGAGAAAGGGTTAAACTGTTGTAAAAGAAAAAATATATTCTGCACTTTGTATAACCTGGTTTGAACTTTGTATGACTTGGCTTTGTATATCCCTGAATGTGAATCTGTTCCCACGTGTATGCTCCTTATCTGGTACTGTCCGGTACAAACTAAGGAGTAGTTTATCCTTGAACACACACCTGCTTCTTCTTGGCAGTTAGGATGGCACCTAGAATTGTTCACACACACACACATCCTGACCCTGCCCCCTTCTTCCTTTTTTTCTATAAAGTTCATGTGCACTCTTTGTTCAATATCAGTCTGCAATTGCACTCTGTGTGACTGTACACTGATCCTTTGCAAAGCTCTTATTAAAATATACAAAGACAACTTGATCATTTTGTCAACTGCTCATTTTCTCTTTTCTAATCTTTTCTAATTTGTGTCAACCTCCAGCGGGACACAAGCTGTTCAAAGGACAATAAGATGCTACATATGTTGGCTTTCAGTGTAATATTAAAACCTACCCCGCTCTTTCTATCCCCTCATTACTATGATTTGATAGAGGACAAGTTAAAAACACTGGTCCTGCCTGAAATGCAGCCTCTGAACAACACTTTCATAACATTCTGCAAAAACAACTGACAACAGTTTGACGAGGAAAACAGATGAAAACAGGTGTATTACTCACCCCAAAGGTTTAGGTTTGTGTGTGTCTAAGGAGTGTAACTGGCACCGCTTGTTCTTTTTACTTTTTGGAATGGCATCAATCATGTCATTCAACTTTGACCTGTAAAAAAAAAACAAAAAAAAAACAAAACTTTTTTTAAAAATAGAAAATTCAAGAATTATATATATAATTATATAAAGAGACTACTATTATCTTTGTATTTGACACTGATCAAGAAAGGTGTCAGTACTAAGATACCTTAGATTTTGTGCACAGTCTGAGGTTCATGTATTTAACCATTGTTGTCACATCCATGTCTCAGGAATTAGCATAAAAAATTCAGTACATTTGAAGTTGACTTAAGAGGAGAACAGTGGGTAGAGATCAGTGTTTCAATCTGTATAGCATATTTAGTACTTCAACAAGAACAGAAAGCATTTCTTGTTGATTTCATATTTTTTGTTTTGGTTCTCTGGCTTCTAACTAACAAAAGCACTTGTTCATATTTTGGCTGATTTCATTTGCTACACGGTTTAATCAATTTTGCAGTGAAAATGAAAGAACCGTTTCCTATATCATACCCATGGACGTAGAAGAGGGTGTAAAGCTTCTTTACATCCACTAAACAGCCCTTGGTGACAGAAAGCATGCCTGTGGGTTTCACTGTGAGGGGCTCCAGAGCAGGGTTCCCCGATTCCACCAAATGTGAGAAGAGGCGCTCCACACTTCGTCTGCAGCCCACGCACGGCACCAGCTGAAATAATGCACTGTACACCTCTCTGGACGTCACCATCAAGGCGATATTCAAGTCCTGTTGCTTCAACTTGGAGTGATACTAAAAGCCAAGGAATTATACATCTATCAACACTTTGCAGCCAAGTCACATGAAGACAAACCAAAAAAGTGCTTTGATACATTTTATGAGGAGCCAGTATTTACAAAATTAAAAAGTCCTCACCTCAGAAAATTGTTTCCAATGAGAAGTGTTTGTTTCGTGGCTGTCAACATCCATGGCACTGTCAGAAAATTCCATCACCATCTGACAACAGGAGATGATACACAACAGTTAATGTGCATCAGTGTCTGTGATAAAGTCCCGTGTCACTGTTTACATTACTAATGTGTCACTTTTTAGTTGTATGCATCACATGCAAATAATTAAAGTGAGGATCATTTGTACAATCGCCATTAAAAATTCTTCACACTTGGGGTGTATGACTGTAATATGTAATGTAATATTACAGAAACATGGCATTACTTTATCAATATTGCATCTGCACCACCCCAACGTGTTAAGAAAGCCAAGATGGTCGAATACCTACTGACAGATTGCACAAAGTGTCACCCTTACATGGTCATAGAAATGCAATGATTTGATAATAGTTTAAGCTTCCTTTATAATGTTGTCTAATTGTGCGTCAAAGTAAGCAAAACTGACAGAATCTTTGCCTCTCAAAGGAACTGGGACTTCAGGGAACTGATATGGACTGCTAACATCTGACACAAAGAACCTCATGGCTGAGTTAGCCACTTCACTGTGATCTTAGCAGACATTCTCCCTGTGGTCATAAATAAGGGAAAGCTTGCTTACCGTGAGAGTGTCATCGATATACAGGGGGATCTGTCTGGCGAGAAATGGGTAGTCATCTTCCCCTTCCCTGCAAACTGCTACCAGTCGTGCCATGACTTCTTCCAGTTGGTGCAGCTCGCCTGCAGGTGACACACAAGAGACCGACTGACCAGATCTGACATCAGCACAGGCTACACCAAGCTAATGCTAATCGATTGCAGGTCATTGCGGGACTAGCTACAACATCACCTTGTAACTACAGTAAAGCCTATCTTTCCGACTGCCTGGCACTAAAACACGTTATAAAATGTTAATCATGTGTTGAAGTTGACAGCATCTGATTTACCCTCTCTAACGCTGCTGCAGTACATACAGATTTGCCGTGACCCAGATTTAACCAGTTAAGTAAGCAGAACAACCTGGGAAACGAAGGCTCGTAGGGGGAAGGATTATAACGTTTTAATATGTAAAACCTGTTTAAGGGTGTTTTGTCTGAGAGTATTGAAGTTTGAAGACAGGTTAATTCACGACGATGTCTGTCTGCTGGGTAGAATAAAGCAGTTGCCGGCGGCTAGCCAATTCATGTTAGCCTGCTAGCTAATTCCACTTGCCACTACGGTTTTGGAAATTGAGGAAGCCGGTTGGTGTATTCTGTGCAGAACGTCCTCAAGCGATTATTGTACACGGAAGTTTCTAATACCTTAACAATTAAAAAATATGTTGCAGTGATTATATAGTTTGTCTACGCCCTGTCGATACCAGCAAACTTGGCTAACTCACTAGTTAGCATAGCAATCCTACAAGGCTAACGTTAGCAAGCCTGAGTACGGCTAATATAAAGTTAAAGTAGATGACTGGCCACTTAGCGACTGTCACTTTCATCAGCTTCTCTAATAACCGTTTAAACGGTTGACCATAGGATGTCACCTTGACGATATAGACGGACAGCAGACTAAACCCAGTTATTGTTCATACTTACCCGCTTCTAAAAGTTCCCCTTAAAAAAAAATAAACAAGTACGACAGTGAGTGAGCCTGCTACGGTGGCGGAATCTTCATGACTGATTTGACCTTTGCCCTCCGACGTAGTAGCTCACGTTATACTGCGCGCGGCCCCTAGGGGGCGCGTTATAGCTCAGTTTATAGAGAAAATATTCATTCATACAGGCAAAGTTATAAATCTAGTTTGTTTGCAATGATGATTAAGTAAGCCTTAAGGATTCCCACTTCTTAATTTCTATATATTATATATAATTTCATTTGTTGTATTTGTTGTATTGGACCTCAGCTCTTATTTTTAGGTGAGGGTTTGGTGCAGACTGTAATGATGAATAGACAGTTGTTATTGACATTTGAGTAGAATGCGAGGTTGAGAATCTAAACAGCCTTTCACTGAGAAATGAAATAAGCAGTGAAGTAACAAACAGCAGGTGTGTACATATACAGAGATAGAAAGACTTATTCATCCACTAGGTGAAATTCAGGTTTCCAGCAGCTCATTAGTAATAACAATAATAATAGCTAATAATAAACAATAATAGTTAAATGAGTCCAGTTCATGATTAATTTAACTATATATATTTTACCTCTTTAGCTTTTACATAACAGGCTGTAATCAATTGCTGCAACATTTTAAACTGTTTTCTCATGTTAAGTTCAGACTTGCTGCTTACCCAGTCTTAAAATCCTTATATGCAGATCCAATATAAGTGGAAAACATTATCAAGCTTGAACACACACCTGCAAGCAGCAATGACTAGACTTTAAAATAAAAAGCAAAACATAAACAAATTTAAATCATTTAAGAACACTTCACAGTGTCTTGTTTCAAGTCCTCATTTATTCAGATTTTATTTACATGAATAAACATATCACACACAATAGTGAATTACAGATTATTTACAAACCATGTAGTTTTTTACGAATGCAGTTTCACCAGAATTTCACTGTAATTCCACAGAAATGTAAAACATATATTACAAAGCAATTCATGAACATGTATAACAGCAAAATACACACTGAAAATGAATTGCTACAGTTAATTGTGTCCATTACTGAGTTGGTCAGTCCAGTCATGACATTTGCAAGTAAGAAGAATAACAACTGATTCCTGCTGACAGCTTGAACCAGGCACAATCTTTCCATTTCACCAGTCTTTTTGTCAGAGATCGAGTCTGATTGTTTTTTATGCAAACTCCACGATGAGGGTACAGAGTGACAGCCTGATGTTCTTTTGGAAAACAGTAAAACCATATCAGCTACACCAAGGCAGAACATAAAAAGCAAAGACTGAGCAACACTCCAGAGGAAGAAAGGTAAATTAGATAAGCGGCGAGACACTGGCTCCACCAGTGTCTGACATGCGTACAAAGCACTGTAAAGCACAAAACTACCAAACAAGAGGTTTAATAGCGTTTTGAGCCACTCTTTAACTTGGGATCTCGGCTGCATCACATAAAGTCCAACTTGAACCCCAGCCATGTAGATGGCTACATAGCCCACTACAGAGAATATGCCCTCCTTGTTCGCATGCAGAAAGTCCTTTTCTCTGTCATTGTTGTGGATAATGAACTCCTTCAGCCCTGATGTCTCCAGAGTGAACTGATAAAGCCCGATGATCAGAAGAGAAATGAGCCATGACTGACTGGCTGGTAAAAGAGCCAAAAGCATAGACGCCACAACTCTGACGATGGCCAGTGTGAAGAAGAAATTCCAGTGGACGCCATATTCTGTCACATGCTCCTGGTAGTCAGTCATTTTGACGCTCACTAGCCTTCCCATACCAAGAACAACCAGAGGCCAGACAGATAGGAGCTGCTTTGTGATATGATTCACCTTGGATCCTGAGATGTTCTTCCTCCGTGCCTCTGGACAGACGAGGGCATTTGCAAAGACATACGCTCCAACGCCAAAGTCCATAACCCCTGTTCCATAGGTTTCTGTTTTAGCATATCGCCTTGGAAAGACACTAAAGTCTACAGCAAGAATGCTGATGGCAGTTTTCACATTGACAAACACTCTGAAGACAGTCACAAAGGGAACCTGGTTGAACTGAACATGACTCTGAAGGAAGGTGCTGACAGTGGTCTTTGGGTGCCGAGTAGATGGGTGACTGTTGGTGCGATAAATATAGTAAATCACACAAGCTGAAACCAAGATCAAGCTTATGATGACCTCGTAAAGAATGCTGCTCAGGATGGTGCATGAGAAGATGAGGGGAAGAATAATGACAGAGAAGTCTAGAAGCAGGTGAGAGATCAGTGGAAGTGGCAGTGGAAGAGTCCCTTTGGCCTGATGGTAGAGGATCAGAATCAGTCCTCTGTTGATGAGGCATACTGGAGAGAGAAATGAGCCCAGTGCCACCTCCGGCAGATTGGTCCCATTGAGATTACTGATAAACGCTTCCCTCAGTCCCCTCTGAGACATGGCCTGCAAACAATAAAAGTCATTATTTACTATAAGAGACTGAACTTAGATACAATCTGAATATGGGTTTAGGACACTATGACAGCACCCATGTTAATTATACAAGGATATTACTATCTTTTCTAATTTAAAGCTATAAAAATAGTGTTACTTTATTACGAGTGGAGTCAATTAGGTTCTCCGATCTACAATGCGACGTTCCATAAGATAGTTGCGTAGTAGCTAGTTTTGTAGCTTAGCAGTAGCTTATCACGACTTACCTCGCTTAGGCGTGGGATATGCAGGTTCAATAAAATACCAGTTTTACAGCATAGCTTCACAGTTCAGAGCAGGTTTCTTCTTACTCTTGTTTTACAGTGGTTGGCATCCAGCTAAGTGGTGCATTACCGCCACCTTCTTCTCTGGAGTGTGGATCAAACAACAGACTTACAATCTAACTTCCCACAAAGAAAAACAAAACAAATAAAAGACACATAAACACTCTCATACACCCTAAACTACACTTCTTACTATGAAATCCATATCCATGTTAGTCATCCTATTCCCGTGTATCCATCATATCCTACAAAAAACTGTATCCCTTTGAGTTAGAGCAGCCTCCAGCATCATTCGCTCGTTTCCGTGTTCAATCCTATGACGCATTCAGGACAGCTCAGATTTCTGACAACTTCCGGCCTAACCGGGACAAGAGTTTCCAGCATGTAAAAAATATTCTGAAAAAGTAGCATCACTACCAACACGTGTAAAAGAATAAAATGAAGAACTCTGGTTTAGTATCTATTTCAGGCAATTGATAAATGCAGGGTGACCATTAGGTTGTGAGCCGAGATGAAAGATACAAAAGGAAAATCAGCCAAACATTGATATAGTAATTTCAGGTTTAGTTTTATGGGGAGAAAATAAAATAAATAAGTCCCAAAGCAGCAAGGTTTTAAAGTAAGAGTAATATAAATCAGTGCTGGTGGCGGCAGACCGCTGGGCCCATGGAACATCAGGAGGAGGGCGGGAATAAGAGAGAGGCAGTCGGACGGGCAGGAGGCGGTCGGGAAGTTGTTGTCCTTGAGGAATTTGTTGTAGTAATGGAAAAATGTTGACGTTCAGGACCACAGAGTAGAATAACCGAGACCCGTCGTAATCAGAATTAAAACATAGTTCCTATCAAAGTTTCTTGTCTGTGTTTTTAGACAGCCACGAGGGTAACGGTAAAATCAATGAGTTCTGCGGACGACCGACGTAACGTCAGAGCAGGACACACACACGGAGGGGGAACGGTAAGTTGGGACACGGGATGACCCATCTACAGTTTCCTAACTGGTGTTTTAGAGCTTTTCTTTTCGGTTTGTAAAATGAAAAAGTTAATAACAAGTTTAACTTTACCTGTAGCACCTTTATCAATCTGCACCGGCTCTCCGTTTTGATTGGGCGGTTCGTTTTCAAACGCATTGTAAAAAGTGTCTTATGAACCCAAAACCTGTGACCGAACAACTATAACTTGATCCAACGATTAATGCGCCGGATAAAAATAGTTCCCAAAATGCGTGGATCAAATGACGCCAAGGTTAACAGCAAAAGAATTGGCAAGTTTTTTTTTTTTTTTTTTTTACCCTTTTCTAACACATATACACCGAGGAACGTGACTGAAGACAAATTGTTGTGAGCCACTTGTACTCATAACAGCAGCTATTTCTGTAAATTTCAGGATATAGACACACGCTTACACACGCTGCTGTAACGTTTACTGTTTACTAGTGGCTCAGAATATTTGGATAATGATTTATACTGGGTTAGCTGCCAGTCTGCCGTTTGCACAACATTCACTAAATTGCAAGGTTTTTGACTGCAGTTTGGTAGGAGAACAGCAGTCAACGACGACGGCTACAGGTGTCACAAAAAATAAGACATTGTTTGTTAAAGTCTTGTTCCTGTATATGATTATTGTACTAGCAGGATTTATTCTTAAACAGTATTCCTTTCTAAAATCATAGTATAACACAATGCCATATGACACTTTGTAGTCTTAATTTTATGTGCCATGCTGTGTTGTGTATTCAGGATAGTGTTCTTGTAGCCTCAGTCATAAATCAATGTCATTAAGACTATTTAAATTGGTTTAAAATAGCCTTGCACAATGATGGGATGTAGGCTGCCTGCTATTGGATTAAATCTGTCTGGACAAACTGTTGATAGTCCTCAAGGCAGCCTGCAGGTCCAGGCCACGTGATGCTGGCTGGAGAGGGTAGACTTAATTTTGTCAGTCTGAGGTGACTGTGACTGAAATAATTACATGTTACATGGACCAGTAAGTAGTTCTGTAAAAATACACATAGCAATTACCAGCGTAAGACACTGGGTGGTTTTAGCTTCTGTAATAAAGTGAAAAATCATAATTGATTTACATTCATAATCTGTATTATGGTGTTTGACAGATCTAAAAGCCAAGAATAAAAACTTGAACATCTAATTGCATTGTGATGAAACGTTTTAGAAGCTTTATGACCCAGAAACATGTTATCAGATTTTATGGATCCAGAATGTTTGACATTTTGAGGCAAAAATACGACTTTATTTTACTGCACTGCTGTGAGTCTGGAGCAAAGAATGTACCTTTATTTTGAAAATACTGCCTTTGCCAGGCATCTCAACCTGCTGCAGACTGGCAGGTTCAGACTTGATGTCATGAGGACATCCCAGGTGAAAGAGGTTGTTTATGTTTCAGGTATTTGCAAGAATAACAAAGAAAACACTTCCTGCTCTTCCTGCCTTTAGTTCAATCATGTTGGTCTTTTATGAAATGTTATTTCTCTTTTGTTAGTTTTGTTTTTGTCTGTTCGTATTTTAAGCACAATATCCGTTCTGTGTGTGTTTGCCTCTCATACACAGGTGAAAGGATTTGTCCACAAAGACCGCTCTCCTCCTCCGTCCCTAAATGACTCACTGGAGGGAGAAATTCAGGCTTTCCTCACTGATGAAGACCAACTCCACACTTATGACGACCTCACTAAAGTTAACCCCGTGACCCCTACAACAGGTAACTAGTCAACATGGAGAGCACTTAAGTCTCTTCTAGAGTCTCTAAAGTGCTAAATCTCATTTAAATCATTTCACCTGGTATAAATCTTGTGTAGCTGTGATCAACATCATACCTCCTCCACTTAAAACGATGATCTTTAGATCATCAGCGGGTGTTTAGTGTTTGATATGTTGCATAAACTTTGTCTTTATTTACAAATATGCAGCCAGTGTGACTCAGTTTTTTCCAGCTCATGTCACCTTGGACTGCAACATTTACTGTGTGTTATTGACCCACGTCAAGATAAAATCTGCAGGGATGATAAAAAAAAAAAAATTCATGCATGAAAGATTGCTGTGCAGCTGAAATGCTGCAATATACACAACACGTTTTATTCAACTGAAAGAACCAAGGGCATGATTTACTTTTTTATTTTGACATGTGCCTCTAAAAAAAACAAATTTTCATTTCCTTTTACATTTGTATTATGATTGGGACATAGATGAATATGAAGCACAATATCTTAAAGTGTCTATGTGCAACACTTTGTTTTTTAATCATTTGTCATTTTTACTCAGTTTGTCTTGACATAAAGATACAGTGTCATTGTACTATGTAAGAAAAGATCAGCATTTGCTGTCGATACAAAGATTGTAGTTTATATTTATTTTTTTTGTTCATTTCAGCGGAGGAGAGAAAACACAACAGTGCAGTTTAGTAACAGCAGAGGTCAGGGTAACAGCTGGGGATTACTATTTTCTTTTAAAGCTCTTGTTCTGATTATGCTGCACTGGTTATATGGATCATGTTACTTTATGTAGTCAAAGAATTTTATTTTAGGTAAACATATGTTCTCTGGAGTTCTCTTGTTCCTGCCTCTGGTGGTTATCAGCTGCTTGTTTTTCATCACTATTGATATCTAATGATATTTGATGTTTTTCCCCTGGCAGTGCTGAAATGCCTGCAGGCCAGGTACAGTGTGAAGGTGTTTTACACACATGCTGGCTGCACCTTGGTGGCTCTCAACCCCTTCCAGCCAATCCCACACCTCTACTCTCTGGATGTGATGAAGGAGTATCACTGTGCTCCTCAGCCTCAGGTATTTACAACAGCACAACTGTCTGAATCTGGCTTTTTTTGTACCACGAATGCGTCACCAAGTCAACAGCAATCAATATTTCATCAGTATGTTCAGTATGTTTGATGTGTAATAACTTTGCAGAAGTTTTTAAAATCATCAACCCTCCTGTTTTATTGTCCCTTCAAACATAAAGTCTGCTCTGCTCCTCGTCCGCCTCCTTTAATCAAGAACAGTGTCAAAGTCAAACTCATTAAACTCTGCAAAGTGCTGACAGCTCTCCCTGAGGTCGTGAATGAGCAGCATCTTAATAAGTCTGTACATTGTTGTCAACAGGAGTTCAAACCTCACATCTTTATTGTGGCAGAGGAGGCCTACAGGAACGTTCAGGGTCAGCTGGAGCCAGTGAACCAGTCGCTGGTGGTCAGCGGTGAGAGCGGTGCAGGAAAGGTAAACCATCAGTCAGACGTTTTATTTGTTTACACATTAGATCAGGATATTGGCCAATGTACAGCGTATAGACTGAGCTGATTGCTGAATGCCACAGAATCCAGAGGGAAACACATCTGATCACTCGTCACATTGTTTTATGGTGGTTGATCTCCGAGGAAAACATTACAGTAATTAGCCTTCGGCAAAGAAGATTGAGACGAATCAACAGAAAATTAATTGTCAACCGTTTTGATAATCAATTAATCATGTTGTTTATCAAGTAAAATGTCAAATGTTTCCTCATAATGTGAGGATTTGATGCTCATGGTTTGGAATATGGAATAACTCACAATTTGAAGACTCCCCGTGAGGTCTGGGAAATTGTGATGGAAATTTTTTGTTATTTTCTTCTTTCATTTTTACACAATTTTACACTTTGGATTGGCGTAAAAGTAGTGAAGAGATTAATCGATAAAGATGTTGAACAGTTGTTAGCTGCAATTTTTTTGATAAAGATATAATGTGTCACGACACTGAGACACCCCGACTCACAAATCATATTCTCCAGACATAAAGGAACATGTGAAAATGTTTTCAGCGAAAAATAAAAATGCAAAAATTACCATTCCAACTCAAGCTGTGACTGATATCTCAATATCTCCCAAAATAATCGCAATATGCATTTTAACGTGTGTGATCTCTGTAGGTTTGGTTGCAAGATCAGTAGAAAGAAACTTTAGTTGACTGATATGTTTTGTCACGTGTTTCTACACAGACGTGGACGTCTCGCTGCCTGATGAAGTACTACGCCACGGTGGCAGCCTCCTCCTCGGTGGTCAAGAGTCAGCACACGGTGGAGAGGATAGAGAAGAGGGTGCTGGACTCCAACCCCATCATGGAAGCTTTCGGTGAGAGAACAGATCACTGGTGTGTAGTTAATGTGAAGATCACTGCTGTGCACAGTCACTCATCTACAGTGTGCTCCTCGCTAGGCAATGCCTGCACGCTGCGGAACAACAACAGCAGCCGCTTTGGAAAGTACATCCAGCTGCAGCTAGACAGGTACCTGCTGCACTTCCTTCATCATCACACGAGACGACATCCGCCGCATGGCATCAGCTCACTTTCTCATAGTCACCTATAGGATACCTTACCTTAATATGTTTAATGTGTTTGCTGTTAAGGTGTCAGCTCTTAGTGGGGGCGTCTGTGCAAACATACTTGCTGGAGAAAACCAGGGTCGGCTGCCAACCGGCTAACGAGAGGAACTTCCACATCTTTTACCAGGTGATTTAACAGACCTGCACTATTATATGCTGATCATTTGATGATATGGTTATTTTAGTTTAATATTAACACATTTAAAAGCTGTGAGTGTGTTGTTTGTCAGATGATGAAAGGGGCCACAGATGAGCAGAGAAAGGAGTGGGAGATGCCTCGCGGCCAACGTTTTGTGTGGCTGCCGAATGCTGAAAAAACAGTGGAGGGTTGGTCTTAAATTTTTGTGCACATTTAGTTTTTTTTTCTTTTTTTGTTTTATACAAATTTCATTCATTTTTTGACAACGATTTTTACAAGTAACCGCTGTTCATCTAATGTTTTATAGAGGATTGTTTTCATGAGACTGTTGAGGCAATGGTGCATCTGGGCATTAACGCAGAAAGGCAGAGACAAATATTCACAGTAAGATATTGATCCTCATATTTCACTGCGTTGTTTTGTTTGCGTGATTTCTCACAGGGTTTAACTTCTCTGTTTATTGTAATGCTTTACAGATCTTAGCGGGGATTCTGCAGCTGGGGAATGTGAATTTCTCCTCTTCAACGGATGAATCACAACCTTGTAACCTAGAAGAACAGTCTAGAGGTAATGAATATGATTTTGTTTTAAGATATTCATTCAACTCGTATCAATAACATCCAGTTTCTGTGTACATTTGACATTGAAGGCTGACATAAACACAAACAAAGATTTAATGCATGTTGTCCTTTTTTTGTGTCATGCTGCTGATTGATGATATCGTCCTGCTCCCTGACATTAACAAACGTGTTGACGACAGCCTCCGTCTCCTGCCTGTGTTGTAGACTTCTTGCAGAGGGCTGCTGAGCTGCTGTGTGTCCCTGCAGAGGAGCTTCAGATGTGTCTAAGAGTGAGGACTCTGAAGGCGGGGAAGCAGAGCGTGCTCAAACCCTGTTCCCAGGCAGAGTGCAGCATGAGGAGAGACTGTCTGGCCAAGGTCATCTACGCCCAGTAAGAATGAGGATTTGATCATTAAATAAAGCAGCAATTTCTCACACAGTGACGTCATGTGATCATGTTTTTTGTCCTGTTGCCGTCGAACGCTGAAATGTGAAACCGTCATGCCTTTTTATTTACACTAAACAGTGAGGAACATGTCTGATAAATGATGATGATTCACTTCTTATTATCGTAGAAATAAATGTGTCACTGTTTCCCCAACAGATTATTTGAATGGCTGGTTACATTCATCAACAACAGCATGTGTGCAGACAAATCTACATGGTGCAACTTCATAGGTAAAAGCTTTTTTTGACTACACTGAACACAAATCTCCAGTTTCTTCTCATGAGCTCAGCGTCCTCCCCTCTCTGATCTCCAGGAGTCCTAGACGTGTACGGGTTCGAGTGTTTCCAGATCAATAACCTGGAGCAGCTGTGCATCAACTACGCCAACGAGAAACTGCAGCAGCACTTTGTGGCCCATTATCTCCGAGCTCAGCAGGTCGGTGCGGCGTCGGGCGCTTTTCTGTTTCCGTGCAGAGCCACAGATTCTCTGACGATGTCCAGGCCTCAGCGTGTCAGGAGGCGTCTTCAGTCTTTATGAAATCTCTCAACAACAACTTGTTTCACCTCGTGTTTAATGTGAGAAAGGGTTTTATTCTTGAACATAAATGTTTATACCTTCTCCCAGGAGGAGTATGTGTCCGAGGGGTTGCAGTGGTCCTTTGTCAAATACCAAGACAACCAGAGCTGCCTGGATCTGATAGAGGGGAGTCCTGTCAGTGTGTTCTCTCTTCTTAACGAGGTATCCTGCTCATTTTCTTGTTGTTAAATTATTTAGATAATTATATTTATTTATTTTTTGAAATGATGTGAAAGAAAATATACAACTAGTTCTTCAAAATAAATGATACACGTATGGCTGCACCATATGCAACAAAAAAATCATATTTCGATCATTTTGGCAGATATTGTGATTTCATGATCATTTTCATTTTCACTGGAAAAAAATGTAAAATGATGATGATGATGTGATTTTTGTTGGTCTTGCACCAAACAAACATGTTCCTTTACATCTGAAGAATATGATTTGTAGGCCACGGCGTCTCTGTAGCGCCACAGCACTGATGGTGCTGACAATGCACACGTGACAGCTGTGATTTGTATATTGCACTTGGCCAGATTGTGATTTCAATTATATTTAGATTAATTGTGCAGCCATAGATACAAGTATGGATTAATCTTTTTACACTGAAGCCAGTTTTAATAGTTTTTCATAAAGGGGACAACATAGACGTATTTTTCCTCCAGCCCTTTTTAAGCCTTTGTTTTCATGCAGAAGAGATTGCACTTGTCTTCTTGGTTGTTGTGTACAGTGATTTATTATTAATTGTAAAGTGTGTATCTGCAGTAAGTGGATGTTTAACAGCTTTTTACCTGTTCTATAGGAGAGCCGTCTGAATCGAGCCTCAGACTCCAAGATGTTCAGGGTCCGTTTGGAGAAGGAGCTCTGCGACAACGTCAACATCAGCTGGGACAAGTTCAGCAAGGTGCCGCACTTCACCGTGGCCCATTACGCTGGCAAAGTCAACTACCAGATACAAGGCATGGTGGAGAAAAACAAGGCAAGAGGAGCTTTTTAAAGTGCTCTCGGAGAAGCTGAACACACAGGTCCGTCCGCTCATCTTCTACTGGATGTTTTTGTTTCAGGACCCAGTGCCACCAGAGCTCAGCAGCCTGCTTCAGAAGTCTGGAAACTCCCTGCTTCACCAAATATTCACTGACAAGGAAACTGAGAATCTGACTTCCAAGGGGCTCAGTAAAGTCACTGTGGTCTCCAAGTTCAAGGTGGGAGTCAACTAAAGCCTTTATCAGCAGGGTTATGTTAGCTTCTCACGCGCTGCAGAGTTCCTGAGAGGATTTAATCCCGACACTGACGGTGTTAATGTCTGATTGTAGAACTCCCTGGAGAGCCTGATGAAGATCCTCCACGCCACGACTCCTCATTACACTCGCTGCATCAAACCGAACCCAGACTGCAAACCGCTCACCTTCAAAAAGGAGGAGGTAGATCTTCCTCACACATTTAACACTGACAACAGTGACTCCTTCATTCACCAGAGGGAAATGTTTTCACGGATATTTCCTCTCTGCCGTCAGGTGATCATGCAGCTGGAGGCCTGTGGGATCGTGGAGACCATACACATCAGTGCTGCTGGCTTTCCAATAAGGTGAAATATTTTTCCTGTTCCAACATGTCATTTTGTTTCCCCTTTGGATTGTGGTTGACTTGTCTTTTCTTTTCTGAGCAGAATTCCTTTTAGCAGCTTCCTGCAACGTTACGGACTGATCGCAAAATATTCAAAGTTCAAGTCGGAGGCTCGTTGTGTTGGTGAGTACAGCTTGTTGCTGTGTCCGTTTGTGGTCACTTTTGACGTGCTGACTGTGGACAAAGATTGATTTTCTTTCCTCTCTTTAGGTCTGCAGGTTTCTTCTCCTTTCCCTTCACTAGCCCTCTGTGTAAATTTGACCCTCAGTTCTCTGCTCTCCTTGGGACTTTTCAATTTGGTTTTATAAAAACAGGACTTTCTAACAAAATTTACAACTCCTTATGAACTTCGAAGGTAAATGCATGTACCTCTGACTATCAGATCTGGCTTTGCATCTTGTTTAATGCTGTTTAATCGTTCTTGGTTTGAACTTATTTGTTTTAACCCACTGTTCATTTGCTTTTTTGCATCAGTACTCACTAAATCTTGACACTGCCAAACATTTAGTGAACTCTTTACACCTCCTCTCTGTCTTCATCTGCACCTGCATGTTGTCGGGTGTGAAAAATACACTGAATCCACAGTAATAATATCAGAGTCTGTGGAAGCTGTGCTGTTGATTCCGATGTGCTCTTTATCCACTAGACGCTTTTTACCTCACTGCCTGAAACACTGTGATGTGGGAAAACTGAATGTCTCGTGTGCTCTGTCTCAGATTTGGAGGCTGACAGTGACGTCCTGCAGCGAGAGGTGGAGAAGCTCCTCAGGGTGCTGCTGCAGACCCAGGCTGTAGACCCCTCGCACTGCCTGGGAAAACCCAATTCATGGGTGCACTGTGGAAGGACTAAAGTTTTCCTCACCCAGTCAATGGTTAGTCATTTATACACACATGCATTTTCACACAATATAAATATAACTCTGTGGAAAAGTTCCTGGGAAATAGTTAAATTTACTTTATAGTACAAAGAAGTTGTTACTCAGTCGGTCATGTAGCTCTTAGTGGTTGTTTTAAATGTTAAAATTACTGATCGCGGCTGTAAAGGAAGTCAGCGCTCTGGTCTTATGTTGGAGGACTGACCTCCCCCGCCTTTGTCTCACAGCTAGATTTGCTGGAGGATCAGAGGAATAAGATCCTATCTCAGTGCGCCTTTTCCATTCAGTGCTGCTGGCTCCGGTACCAGCAGCGCAGACGCCACGCCCGTCTGAAGTCTGCCATCGTGATCCAAGCAGGTAAACTCTTAATACCCCCGTCCAGGTACGGCTGAGTGGAATCAGCAGAGCTCTGAGGCTCTGCTCGCTCTGTGTGACTGACTGGCCAGCAGGAACCAGCTGGCGGCGTCTGCACACGCTGTTCGCAGGCTGACACTGTTCATCCTTTCAGAGGCGACAGAAGCTGCCACATAAAAGCTCATCTGATTAACGGTTACCGGCAGATGTTCTTTTGATACTTCCTTCTGAATGGGAGTACAGAAGTTTCCCTCCACAATGAGACAAACTGTGCTCAGATTTAAACTCGCAGACTGAACGGCTGTTAGCTGTTTAATGTGTTTGCTTCTGCTTGCAGCGGTGCGGTCCTGGCTGGTCAGGAGGGAGGTCCAGAGGTGGAACAGAGCAGCTACAGTCATCCAGGACACCTGGAGGCGGTGGAGGGTGAGAACATGTAACATCATAGGTTGTGTGTTCTTTCATTCTTTCATGTGAATAATATGTAAATGACTGTTTGGTTCTCGTGGCAGGCTCTTTTGAAATCTTTGGCCGAGGCAGAACTCGATGATGCAAAGGACCTTGTGGAAGAGGAAGTGCCAGAATTGAACCCGGTTATCAGGGAACGTGGCTCGGTGCAGCTCTCCAACATCCAGGAGCCTGTCACGGTGCGAGGCTGGCCCATGGGCCTGGCTCTGGCCTCGGCCCCGTCCATCACCGTGTCCCTGACAGCCACGGGCTTCCAGAAGATGATGTCTGTGATGGCCTCACTCAACCTGCCCTCCAGGAGAGGGGACTACAAGGTGGAGACCAACCAGTACACCAAGGGGCTCGCCTCCATACGGGCCCAACCCAAGGTGAGACAGCACATCCACGCCAGCTCTGTTAAAGCTATAAATGATTGTTCTTGTGAGGTTTAATTTGACTTCTCCCCACAGGGATCCGTAAAGCTGCACTATCAGAGATCTCCTCTTCTCTACGCTGACAGGCAGCCAGACCAGAAGAGTGACGTGACAGGGTTCAACGAGATCCTGCTAGAGAAAACTTTGTAAGAGAAACACTAAAGGCTGATTTCATGGATCCAGATAAAAGATAATCTGACACAGAGGGAACAAACCTGCTGTTTTCTGCTGCCATTTTGCTTGTTTTTGCATCTAACTTAGAACAGGAAGAAGTTCTTTTTGGAAGATTGCCAAAGTTTATCTTACTCAGTGTTATACAAGGGTGCAAACACTTGCAAAACCTGGACCTTTGCATAATAATTATATGTAACCTGATAGGAAGTCAGTGTGCTACAAACTTGACTTATTATCCATAATCGTTTGTTGTGGTGTTTAGATCAAAATCATCTGAAATTCAAAATCTCAGTCAGTGAACTGCCCTCTGCTTCATATAAGATACGGCAGGTGAGATTTTTCAACCTCTTTAGGTAAATGTGTCCCACATATTGAAAACAGCGTGTGAGTTGTCGTTATGATGACGTCACTTTTTTTTTTTTTTTTTTAAATGAGTCTCGAGAACGGAAATTACACAGCACAATCATAGCACCTTTTAAAAAATGACGACTGCAGCTTTTTGTCTCATTGTTGCGTCTCTGTAAGATCTGACTGTTGGTCAAAGTATTGGGCCTTTGTCATGTGCCTTTTTAAAAAAAAAAAAATCTACACTCAAATGGAAAGTGGGCTGTTAGAATGTATTTATTTAAAGGTGATTATTTAAGTGTGATTTCATACATGTATTTTTGGGTGATTCCGCTGCACATGACTGCAGATGTTAACATCCTGCATTTATTTTGACTGTGGTTGGTGCCGGGAAGAAAATGGTAATTAAGCAAGTATTGCACATGTAAAGCACATATTGCACATTAAAAACCACACACCTGCTCACTCACTGCAACAATCATTAACAAGCAAACACATCACTGGTGTGAAACGGAGAAAGGATGAACCCAGGTTAATTCATATTGCTGCTTTATAATATTCTCATCAGCCAAACATCTTTCTATGTTGATTTTATCAGCTGCAGTCCAAAGCAATGACAATACTGTATAACAACCAAAGTCTTTGTACACTACAGTGTTCTGTGTGGAAGAAAAAGTTGATTGTTTTTTTAACTAACATGTTATTATCTTCATTCACAAAGCATTTTTCTTTTTGCCATAAAAAATATTACTAAACATGAAGCATGTAACTTAAAACTGATGTTTATCTTTTAAGCTTTTGATCCAAACATACTCACAGGCTCTTTTGATTCCTAGCTTGTCTTCATTAGCTCACTGAATTATTTCATCTCTTTTTCTTTTTTTTTTATTCTGCTGTACATTCACGTCAATGTGTCAGGATCGAGATGTTTTGTGTAATGTTTTTTGTCAGGGGGACCAAGGGATCTGTGTACAAGAACTTGAATTTTGTTAATATTTAAATAAATGTGTGTTATAAAATCTTTAATGTACAAAATTTTCTTTACAACTCAAACTTTGTCTGCGTGTGATCAGGCGTTCATGTCACAGTAAATCATTTAGTGTTGACTCAGGAACTGATGTTTTTAAAAGTTTAAACATTTATTTAAACACTATATACTGTACATACTGTGGCAAGAAATTACAGCAGCCACACAACACACATGGCACAGTGCGGCCTATTCTAAGACATTTTATATAAAAAAATGAATTTCCCCCTCCAAATGTATCAAAAAATTATCTGAAAAACCTCCTTTGGTTGTATCCCTCCACCACTCAGACTAGTTCCAGGTTACATCCCTGTTTATCCAGGGTCATAAGGTATGAACCATTTGTGTCAAGTTTTGTCATAATTGCTGTGTGAGGTCTCAAGTTATGCCTAAAAAGTGTTTTGTGAGGTCACCTTGACCTTTGACCTTTGACGAGTAAAATCGAATCAGTTTGTCCTCGAGTCCAAGTGAATATTTGCGCCAAATTTGAAGAAATTTCCCCAAGGCTTTGCTGAGATATTGAGTCCACGAGAATGGGACGAACGGACAGACAACCGGAAAACAATATGGCGCGGGTGTGGAGGGATAAAAAAATAAAATAAAAAAAAACTAATCCAGGCACGATGATTTTACAAATCATCAGCTTCGTTAGATGTTAATGATTTTGCTTCATTTTCTACAATTTTCAAACACTGATCTGAAAACTCGACAAACAGAGGCTCCTGCATCGCGGCCTTCATCGCATCGTCTTTGCTGTTGGCACAGTCAATGGAGCGCAGCAACTGTCTCAGATGACGGTTGCAAAGAAGATCTCTCAGCTCTTTGGACTGACCTGTAGAGGCAACAGGAAAACATGAAATAAACCCATCTGACATTTTAGAAAACTTTCAGCTGAAGGGGACATTTGACGTGTGATGATGCTGCCAATACTGTCGAGAAAAGCTGAATGGTGAAGAGCAGATGAAAAGTCATGTTAGATTAATACCTAACAGCTGGAGCCTCTGCACAGGCACTTTGTCAATAATGTCTTCTTCATGCAGGAGATCCTCAACAGTCCACGGCTCTGCAAAGACAAAAGAAAAAGGTGATTTTTTTTACACACTTTTTCAATCACTTCATCTCACAACCTTTCTTTGCTGTGATTTAGCCTGTTGAAGGGACAGTAAACACAGTTTTTGAAACTTTAAGTAACATTTTTACCACTTCAAGTTCAGCTTGACGAACCCACTCGCCCAGATTTGTGACAAGCAGTTGGATATAAGTATTACAGATTACCACAGACGTGTATTGCTTATTATCAGAGCTGCACAATTACTCCAAATATAATCGACTGCTATATGGCCAAGTGCAATATCCAAGGAGGAGCTGTAACTTTTTTGATTAAAGGTAAAATGTGTCACATTGTTTTGCATTGTCAGCACCATCAGTGTTGTGGTGCTACAGAGACGCCCCGCCTACAGATCATACTCTGCAGACGTAAAGGAAGATTTTTGTTTCGTACGAGACCAACAAAAATCACATCATCATCATTATTTATATTTTTTTCTGTAAAAATCAAATACAAACGACCATTCCAACTGAAATCGCAATATCAGCCAGAATAAGCACGGTTGTTTTGCATATCGTGCAGCCCTATTAATTATCTTTCTATTTACAGGAATTGTTTAAAATTCACATTAATGATGCCTTAATGAACACATGGTAAATCTCCCTGAAATTCAAAACAGCATAAAATGATAAGCACTCAAGGATGTTTATTTTAATCTTGAGGCTTTTGATTTACTTTAACAGTAAACCCACTTGATTGTGTTAACAGGAATTTGACTTTGTGTATGTTTTTGTTGCACTCATAACTGTGTCATTGTAACCGACAACACCCATCCATTACATTATCACATTGATAACCTGTGCTCTGGCTGGCTGACAAGGACACACTACACAGAGAAACAGCAGCATACCAGTGCTGACGGCGTCCTTCACTTCAGGAACAGAGGGTGCAGTCTGTTCAACAGGGAGGCAAGTGTCTATGGAGAGAAGGAATCAGATGAATGATGAGAAGTTTAATATTTCCTTTGAGTATGTCCACAGCCAAACATCACAACAATACTGACATCAAACTGAGTTACCTTTATGCCGCTTGTAACAGCCAAGTGAACAACTGCAGAAGGAAAAACACCTGGATTAATAATTCAAAAAAATATAAATATGTGTACATGTTTAGATATTTTACGTAGGGGATTTCATGTTTAAGTTATCAAACAGATGTACCCCAAATTAAAAGTCATAATAAATTAGTAAGACTGACTCTTATAAAGGATTTATAAATGGTTTATAATCAGGTTATTAAATTGGTTGTGAACACTTTATAAATCATAAATAAACAATTATGAACAAGTTATAACAGTTTTCATTCATTGATGCAGGCTCACTATTTGGCAAGATCAAGTTAATGCTTACTACTCATTGCGTGTTTATAAATGTTTGTAACTGATAAATAAATGGTTGTAAAAATGAGAAGAATAAACATGAAGGTGATGGAGGGAGAATCACAGAGATGTGAACAGTGGGACAAAGAGTGGGTGAGCAGTTCACCAGGTAAAGGAAGGTTCCCACCTGTGTTCTACCTGGATGTTAAAGTCCTAAAGAAGAGACCAACCAGCAGAAAACATCTCCATGTTAATATCTGATCAACAGCTGTGATTATAATGAGGACAGCTGCTGAGAGCATGTCATGGTAAACAACACTGCCAAGGCCTCAGAGCATGAATCTGGTCATGTGATATGATCATGTGATCTGCCAGATGAAACTTTCTGACCATAGTTATGCTGACAGTGGTTCATTTATAAAGTCTTAACAAGCTGATTAATAGACTAGTTATACCCATTAATAAATCCTTTATATAAGGGGAGTCTGGTTGAAAAGTGGTATTGGATAAATGGCCTACAACATCAAATCGCAAACCGTTTTGACCCGCACGGGTTGCCGTCACATGTGGTGCTAATGTCCAAAATTGTTTTCACGTGCAACTAAAATTGAGAACATTACCTGGAGACAGTGACATGGTCCGTAAATATGCTCGTATTTATATTAACATTTAGTTACAGACGTCCATGTTTTCAATTTCTAGTAATCAGTGCCATGTTTACAAACGTAGCTCAGTGCACTGCAATGTACTTGTACTTTGTGGTGGATAGGCTGCTACATTTGGTAATATTATTAACCTAAGTCCTGCAAACGTACTCATCTACTAACCAGAACAAAAGAAATTTGTATTCCATAATATTTGCTTCTGGTCTCAAGTGACTGTTTTTAACATTTGTCTAGCAGCCTAAACAACTAGCCAAACGACTCTTAAGCTAATCGGATGTTCGTTAGCTAGCTTGTCGACAAACTGCTAGAGTTACTTACTATCTTATTTTGCAGACTGGACATCTGTATTTTGGTGTCTTTTCGCTGCACACGCTGCATATCTGCATCCTGCCGGGTGGAACAATATAAACGACGAACAAATTTGTCAATTTGATAATGGTAGGCTAGCTGATGCTAAAACGTGTGTGAAGACAACGAAATAAGTAATATCATTTCCGGTTGGGGAATCCCCCCTTCAAAATAAAAGCCGATAAAGTCACCTGAGGTTCAATTAGTAGACCAACTGATAAAATCCAAACACTGGCGAGCCTCTGGTTCAGCTGAAGTACACTTTACATTTTCATCATTCATTTATGTAACTTTCAAAAAAAAAAAAAGATTACACAATTTTACAAATACCAGTAAAATCTCTTTCTAGGCTACAGTCCATGTCCTTGAGCATTTTTGAAACCAGCTGTATTAAATCAACTAGAAATCGTTTTCATTCAGCCGTGAGCAACAGAAATTAAACAATTCAAGATAGTTTAGTTAACACCACTTTTATTGAATTAAAATACAATATCTTCTGTACCCACAGAACAGAAATGACAATATCCATCCACATACATATATATTTATATATGTTTATCAAGCACACACCACTGATCTATATAACTCAACACAAACTATTCTTGCACAGCTGTAACATGAGAGTAACGGTCTTGTTACTGGGTAGAGAATGAAATGATAGCCGTCTCGTGACTGATTACTGGGCTTGTTCCCGCTGTCAGAGCGTTCACTGGGACGGGACAGGAAAGGCAGAAATCCAACTTGTGTCCAGATCTGTGGAGAAATCATAAATAAATGGTCATCACAAAACACATCCTGCAGCTAAAGGTTATTTTCATTATCAAAAGATTTTATCCTCAAGTAATCATTTGCTCTATAAAATGTCTATCGCTATTTCCTAAAACACATGTTGACATATTCCACCTGCTTGTTTTGTCTGAACAACAGTCCAAAAGCCAAAGATCTTCCATTTACAATGCACAACAGGGAAAACAGGACACGGTCACATTTGAAAAGCTGGGGCAGCTGGATTAAAAATGACTGAAACAATCAATAAAATATCCAAATTATCGTTCATTAGTTTGCTGTTGTCTATAGGTTGACTAATCATTTTCATTTTTTTATATAAACCATGCTGACATGAATTATGGTGACACCTAATCCAATTTTAATGCATCGAAAAGATCAGCAGTTATTCAGACTTTGCAAAAAAAATGGAGCATGGTCTGATTTTATCATGATACAAACAATAGGTGGAATAAAAACATGTTAAACGGGAAATGTTTGCTTCTGCGATAAAAGCACACATTGTTCACCTCACATTTCTGGGAGTTATCTGCTGGACTAATATACCGGATCTCGTTTATGCAAATATGCAAGAAGCAGGTAGTTTATTTATTTATTTTTTATCACAGGGACCTAGGGTTGAATAAACAGAGGGTTTTCAGACTACAAAGAGACACCATTACCTGTAAACCTCGAGGAAAGCCATCAAGACGACGAGCTCTTAGTTCTTCTGCGTTTCATTTCGCTGTTGTGAAATTTCTCCGCTATTTTTCTCTCGTGTCCCGCGGGGGAATGGCGGTTTGTGTTCAGCTCGATTTCTCTCTTGGATCTCCCTTTGCCTCCGGCATGGCACGAGTATTCATGCAGGTTGTAATAGTCGTATTGATCGTAATGCGCCTCCTCGAAAGAGACAAATCTTTCCAGGTCTGTCGCCATTTGGACACGGAGTACAGTAGTTTTTACCAGACGAGTCTCGGAGAGAGTAAACACATGATGTCACCTTGTGTTTATATACATGTAGTCACGTGACCATGGCTGCACCGCGCTTAGCTCAGATCCAGGAAAAGGAAAATATGGACATGCTTTAATGAATATATTGTGTTTGTTATTAAAGAAAGTTGTTCCAGGTAATTTCACTTTTTATATGTATTTGTCCTCTCATGTCCGTGCGCCATGCTCCCCCTTTCTTTTCTGTTTTTCTTGTTTTATGAATACTTATATATATACTTAAGACAAGTATTGTGTATATGCAGTTTATGATAAATTAAACAGCATGCATGTCAAACAAATAGATTTGTTGTAAAATGTGTCATTATTTTGTAATTAAAGTAAGTTTAAAGACAGTCAGTGACTGTTGTGGGTCTATGGAAATATAAAGGAAGTTACTTCCTTGGATATTTATATGGTGATGGTTTATATTGCACATAGCAACTCTCAGTGGCATGTTGTATTTACACTCCATTACTGCTGTTAATTTTATTATATATATTTTAAATCTATTCGTTTCTAGTCATTTTTATGTAGTCGGGTTATTTTCGTGTATGTACATTTTGTACTTTCATAATTTTGTGATATTTCAACATTACTTAGGTGAAGGATTTAAATAAGCCTAAGCCTTTAAATAAGCCTTTAAATAAGCATTGGGCTTTTTGCCTCTCCCTGCACTGTATGCTATTTGTTTTCTGTCATTTTCTGTGTATTTTAAATTGTGCAAAAAATAAATATAATTAAAAAACAAAAATATAGAGATTACACCCAGTATATGAGTAAGAATATTAATCACAGTGTGTTGTTAGAAACCTGTGTATGACCAGTAAAATGTGCATTATTTAATCAGTTATATGATGTTTCCGCAGAGTCCTGCTCAGTGTAGATTTTCCGTACTGTTGCTCCTCAGCTCAGCGGCCCCGCCCCTCACGGTGAGGCACGTCCTGACGCTTTTCCACGTCGCTGCTCTGTCTCACAGGCGAACTGGCTGCGTATGTATGCGTGTCTCCAGCTAGGCCAGAGAGTGATGGCGGCGCCCGTCCTGAGAGTGTCCACCCCTCGGTGGGAAAGAATAGCTAGGCTTCTTGTTTGCCTGTTAGGCATACTGTTGTCTCTATATGCTTTTCACGTCGAGAGGGAAAAGGCTCGGGATCCGAGTTACACGGCTATGTGCGACGTCAGCAGCTCCATCAGCTGTTCAAAAGTGTTCAGCTCAAGGTAATTTGAATTCAGCAAAGAGCGCCTACAGTGGCGCTCAATGAAGCTGGCTGCTATTGTGGCAATCAGGGAAGGGCTGCGCGGTTCAAACTGTCAAATGCACCCAGCTAACATCTGCCCGCTGCAGTCAACGCTAACTGTAAACCGTAACTGCTGGCGTGCTGCGAGCTGAATGTTAGTGAAGTAGCCTGTCTGAAATAAGTTAACTGTTAGCTTATCATTTAATAGACATATCATCTGCTATCTAGTTAGCTCGACGAAGCTAACTTTGCTAACCGTTAGCTAACGAAACCCATTTTATACTTCTTAGCCAGTTAGCTAAGAGCAGTGAGCCGTCAGCATCGTTAAATTATGAATTGATGAATTGCTGATTGCTAATGTTAACTGGTCGCACTGCTGCTGTTTGTGTATGTAAAGATAAAACATCTGTAACACCAACTCAAGCACAAAGTTAACGATAGCTTGCTCAGACTAACGATGTTGTGTGTGTGTGTGTTGGTGTTGTATGAAGCCATTCATTCCGCCGACCAACACCAGGGTTTCTGGAGGTTATCTGGTTTATGTTGATAGTTTTGGGTAGCCTAACTTTTTAACCTGCAAGCTAGCGCTCGCGGTCGCTGTCACACTGCTGTCATTAGCTGTCGTGCTAATGTCACTTGGCAGCTAGGAAGTCAGTCCAAGGGGTTAAATCCTACACCCTGGCTACCTAAAGCGACAGTGCACATACTGTAGCTGCTCCAGAGGTCAGTGGAGGGAACTGGAACATTGTTGGCTACCTGAAAGTCTCAGTTCTGCTCACCGTCACACATTGTTACCAGTTAGATAAGTAGTCCGAGCGCCTCAGATATAGCTGCTTCTGCTACAGTTTTGATTTATTTCTGATGGGCAAATAGCCAGAGTTGCTTCACTAGCAAGATGAGTTTGCAAGCAACCAGGGGCTGGTTGCCTAAAACACCTTAAGTGAAGTCTGAGTTAAGGTTTACTTAAAATAAAAAACACAAAGCACAAAAGTCTTCTTAAATATGTAAGTGAATATTTTAAGGAAACCTTTAAAATATTAACTTACATATTTAAGCTTTTCTCCTTGCCTTAGTCTTAAACTTTAGGGGGCAGTTGCACAAAACACCTTAGGTCTTCTCCTTAAAGTTTCCTTAAAATGTTCACTTAAGTATTTAAGCTTTTCTCCTTATGTTACTCTTATACTTAAGGAATCACTTAAAGTCAGTTAAACCGTTGCACAAAAGACCTTAGCGACCACAGTAAGGAAAAAAACAAAAGGTACCTCTGACTCTATGTTAACTGCAACATGGCTGAGTTTATGGAGATGAATGAAGAACATGAACACATCCCAGGAAGAAGATGATGATGATGATGTTCTGCGACCAGGAAACATCTTAAACAACGCAGTAGAATTTTACAGCTGTAAAATATCTTTCACTGCTGCAAATGCCATAACTTTTTTCCTTAACTAAGGGAACCGCTTAAGAGATTCTGTGCAATACCCTGAAGTAACTCTCACAGCTAAAGAGAAATTAAACCTTAAGTGCTCTACTTAAGTAGAAAACGTAAGATATTTTGTGCAACCTGCCCCAGTCATTTAAAATAGCATCCCTTTACATTCTTAAGATCACAGAACTTGCATAAAACTAATTAGTTGAATTTGCCATGACAGCTTTACTGTGGGCATGCAACTATTAATTAATCAGTCAGAGTCTGTGCTGGCATTGAACACATACTGACAGAATACCTGGAATGTAATCTGTCTGGGACGTATTACTTATTTGTTAAATGAGTGAGTGAGTTGTCTGAGTGTTAGGGACAGTCTTGCCATTGTCACCTAAATAGGCTGTAAACCATCAGTTGTGAGCATTTTTGTGTTGCAGGGACTGAATGTGATAATTTTCTTGCTCTAAATGAAGAATCATAGCAGTTGGGTTTAGTCTAAACTTGGTTTCGGGCAGTCTAATCTGTATTACCATCAAGAGCCATAGATAAAGTGAATGTCCTATGTTTGGTAATGCACTTTTATTGTATAGGTTCTGTATAGTAAACTGCTTGTTTTGTGTGTGTCTTCTCAAATACTTCCTGTTTGAGATAAAGCCTTGAGACACTAGCCAGAATGTCTGCTGTACTGAAATCAATGGGAAGCTTGAAATCATCATTTCATTTACTCAAGGAGAATAAGGTCACACAAAGTGTTAAATGAAATGAGATTGATAAACATGTTGCACGCTAAGAGATACCGTGACATGGTATTTATTTATTTTTTACCACTTTAAAATCGTAATATACTTGCATGGAGGCTTTAAAACTTGTATCATTCCTAACTTAATATTTTTCCCAAATGTGTTATTGAATGCGATTTAGAAGTCGACTCTGGTTGTTAAGACAGTTTCTCTGAGGCACAGTGGGACATGTTGTTGTGGTAATTGACAAGAAATAAAACAAAGGTTTGAGTTATTGAACCGACCTCTTCACGCTCCTGCTGCATGGCCTTACATGACATGAAAAACTTTACGAATTGGTACCGAATTAATTCCATTGCTCACTAAAACAAGAAAAAGAATATAACAAGCAATAATTGGTGTATAAATAGTGGTACACCTGTATTAACAGTGTGTGTTCAGGTATTTTCAAATTGTCCTCTGTGGTGGAACTCTGGAACTTGCTCATTGCTTAACTGGACGTCCTCTCACTCTTCACATTCACTATTTTAGACATGTTATCTTAGACGAAAGAGCAATATGTTTAATGAGCTTGTTGAATATGTTGCCATTCTCAGTGACAGAGTGAAATACTATTCTTGATTAAGCAAAATGAATGCATGTCTTGTAGTCTGCTGGCTGTTGTGGTTCTCTTTGAAAGAAATCATCAGCACATAAAAACATGATGTTGAAATTTGCCATGAATAGAATCTCATCAAACTTAAGACAAACAGCTTCACAGCTGGACAACAGCTTCACTTTTACTCTGGGCACAAACTGTAATATGAGACCTTATGTGTTTTGTAGGTTTAAAGCTATTGGAGAACAGGGGGATGGTATTTACAGGTGGAGACTAGAGAAAATACTAAACCTGGTGTTAACCAGTGGTGGTGCCTCTCAAACACGGACAAATTAAATGTCACCCACTTGAGACGGCACTTAAAGAGTTCTGAAATAAGAGATTCAAGGGGTTATGGTGTTAATACTCAAGTCATGTAATGTGACTGTCCGCTGCAGTCAAAGTAATGGTAAAGAAGTGCTTTCTGTTTTGTAGTATTTATTTGCTCCTAGGCAAACTGTCCAGATGGGTTAAGTTTGGCACATATAATGATATTTAAGTGACCGGTCAGTCCATCAGTCAGAATGTTCACTGTCTTAATCAATTCGTCAATTGATCAACAGAATATTCATCATCAACTATTTCAATATATAGCAACATAGCCAAATGTTCTCTTGTTGCAGCTCCTCCAGTGTGTGACTTGCTGCTTCTCATTGTTTTATGTCATTGTAAAGTCAGTATCTGTGGGTCGGACAAAACAAGACACATGAAGACGTCACTTTGGATTCTGAGAAACTGTTTTCACTGTTTTTTGACTTTTTTAGACAAAGTAGTAATTCCTTGCAGGTCTAATTCAACAGTTGTACACTAAAGTATTTGTGTGTAAATAATCATTTGGCTAGCTATGCAAACCTCACTCAGCTGGTATTTCAGGTCCCTGCAAAACAAAAATTGGGAAGTATTTCAGGGAAGTATTTTATCACTTGACCTGGATCTGGTTGCCGTCTAGTGTTTTGTTTATTATTATTTTATTTCTTTTTGAGTCATATAGTCTGACTCATTGGGTTTTGATAACACTCAACTATGATCCAGTCTTTTTAGTTTGCTGCAGTTTTAGTTGTAACTGCTTTCTTCTTTGCTCTTTTTTTTTTTCTCCATCTGTCGATTAGGTGGGGTCAAGGATTTGGACTCCTGGGCTCAATTTTTGGAAATGACAGTGCACTGAACCAACCCAACAGTGTCTATGGGATTGTCTTTTATGCCTTTCAGCTCCTACTAGGTAAGATGCCATTTCACTCTGACTAATCTGTTAGTTTTCCAAATTCCGGTGACAGATCTCCAAAGCTATCGCACCAGTATCTAGCGCTTACAGAATACTTGGCCTTCCACTGTCATGGCTATATTTGACTAAACCTGACTCACATGACACTGGCATCACATTAAGCCATGTATAAATATAATTATATAGTTAGGTGAGAGGCTGATTCTTTGTGGAGCTCATCCTACTGAGGTACAATCAACATTTTGTGTTTTTTGGACCTAATTCTAATGAATTTCTGATCAGACTTCTGCAGCGATGGCATATTAGTGAAGTGTTTACTATTAATAATACTGTATGTGTCTCAGTCTAATTTTGGCACCGACAGTTAAGAATCATGATTAATATTTCTCCTTATGTGTGATGTGCTGTAACTTGAAGGTTCCTCCCCCCTTTGGTTACATTCACAGTCGCCCCTCCCCTCTTTACAGTGATGGTGCTGCTGACTCAGTCTTGTTGGTTTGACATGTTTGCCTGCGGAGTGGTCTGTAGGCTTGCCTGGCCACCTGGCGCTAGCACAGAACAAGAGGTTCTTTTAGCCACAGTAGTTACCACTCATTTGACTAACACAATAGCAGCCCAGTTAAACCAAACAGCTTCAGCGGGTCAAGATTTCCATATTAAAGTCAACGCCACTCGGTTTCAGTGCTTGGATTATTCTCACAGCCTTGGACTGTCCAATATTTGTGAGTAGGCGTGACTCCAAAATCTGCATAACTAAGGCTCTGAGTTCTGATCAATGCCTTTTTACAGCTTGCTGACAAAAGATTTTACTTTTGACCCAAATTTCTCTTCCACATAACTTTTACATTAAAGTTGAACCTTTCCCCAAGACATTGTATGCTGCTCCTGTACAGTACAACCAGACACTAAGGTTTAAACTAAATACCTGTGAATACAATATAAATATAAATATAATGTGTCCTTACTGATTTGCACCATTATCCACAATGGTCTAATACACTCAGAGATATATATATATATATATAGTTACAGGAAACATCTGTTACAATGGACACATTTATCACCTTTATCACCTTTATCACAAGTACTCTATACACTGTACCACTGAGTAGAAATACTGTTAAAAGTCTTGAGTAAAATATGAGCACAAAATATTAGTGCCAAGTACCAAAATAATAAGAATAATATATATTATTGGATTATAATTATTGACGTATTAATGTATGTATCACTTTAATGTTGCAGCTGGTAAAGGTGGGATTAGTGTTTACTACTTTATATGATGCTGGGTAGTTTAATCTGTAATAATACACCATAAATTACTTGTGGATTATGTTTTGTTTTAATTGAATTTGCAAATTAACAAGTGACTAAAGTGAAATAAATATAGTGGAGTAAAAAGGCTCCAAGAGGCATTTTATTTGCCTCTAAAATGTAGTGAGGTATAAGTTTATAGTATATAAATATAAGTAGGATCAAATCACTCAAGTAAAGTACAAGTTATCTCAGACTAGATGTACTTACAGTAGTTACTGTCCACCTCTAGAGCTCACAGTGTTGTAGGTGTGTCAGGATTTCATTTTCTATCAATAATAATCAAAATGAACATGAGTAAAACATGGTGAGCACTATGAACGTCACCACTCTTAGATGTGCAGTTGATTCATCCCTTTAGGGTCCCTAGTGTACGAGGCTGAAGCACGTGGAGGAGGATCTGAAACTGTTGAGCTGGGTGTTTCACCTCAGGTACAGAACGGCTCTGAAATAACGGACACATTAGTTTCTTCCAGACTCATATCAAGGTTCATACTGTAAAGGTAGAGAGGGGGGGACGAGGCACATGAATGAATGAATTTTGGTAGCAAAAGAGAAACCTCATCTGTTGTTTAGCAATGATTGTTACTGTTGAAATATCACAAGCACAAGCAGTGAGGAAAGTCAGCCTTAGACCCGACTGCACCTCATGTGACAACAGAATAGTCTGACCAGTCTATTCAGTGTCTGAGCTGAATGTCATCACGAGGAGCCTGATCATATAAATAGAGAACTGTCTGAGGCCGAAAGCTCTGTGACAGAGCAGACTCATCAGGTTGTGTGTTGCAAGGTTGTCTTTTTTTTTATGGTGACTTGCCTAAGCCTTAGTTTGTGTTTCTCGCTGTAGGAATGACTGTCAGTGCAATGGCCGCCCTTATTCTCATGACGACATCCATCTTGTCGGTGGTGGGTTCGCTCTACCTGGGCTACATCCTCTACTTTGTCCTAAAGGACTTCTGCATCATCTGCATCACCACATATGCGCTGAACTTCATTCTCTTTATTCTCAACTACAAGCGACTGGTTTACTTGAATGAGGCCTGGAAGCAGCAGCTCCAGGCCAAGCAGGACTAAGCTGTCGAGAACGGCAAGAAAAGAACGACAAACAAACGACACACAAAAAAAGAAAAGAAATGTGACCTCTGAACTTTTGACTTGCCACCAGGAGACCTTGCTTCCAAACAATGTTTATTCTGCTGTGTGTTCAAAAAAAATGAAGAAATTTAACTTAAATGTTGGGCCTGACATCTCAATGTTGATTGCAAACATGGAAGGATTTGTAAGTGAAAGATGATTTTCTTTTAATTTCTTTTACCTTGTTTAACATTGTACTCACTTAAGGAGGGGGCTGGCTGTGTGTGTGTGCGTGTGTGAGCGCATGTGTGTGAGTGTATGTGTGTGTGTGTGTGTGCGTGCGCGTGTGTGTGCGTGCGTGTGTGTGAGATAGCGGAAACACAACAACCCAAGCAAGCAGAGGCAGAGGGCCACAGTACAGAACGATGGAGGACAGCTCTCTTTTGAACAAAGGATCGCAGAATGGAAGAAAAACGGGACATTCAAAGGGGTTTACTTGAAATGGTTAGAAAGGTCCTATTACTGCACAGCACATCTGCACTAAAAACATGGAGCCGAATAATGGGAAAAATTAGAAAAACACTCATTAAGGTTATCGTACAGTTTGCAGATAAGGTTCAATGGCAGGGTTGGGGGACAAAACGATTAACATTTATACAGAATAGTTTTTTTTCTTTTTCATGTTTACACTTTGTCGTAGCTTTGTTTCTGAAGAGGACCACTAAAAATAAACATGGGACAATGTGAGATGTTGTGTGTAGATCAGTCAGGTTGTTTGTTTTGCAATTCTGTAAATAGCTGCTGAGCAATATTCCAGGCTAGATTGTGAGTTAGTGTTGACACAAACCTTTTTAGGTTAAAAAATAAAAAAGAAGAAGAAGAAGAAAAAAAAACAACCGACAAAACAGGAGAAAACATCAGTTAAATCTGGAATAAAAAGCGATGGAGGTCACGGTGGAGGTGGATAAGTCTGAAGATGTGCTCGGGACATCTTCTGTCCTGTAATCCTGGTCAGGCATGCGGTTCAGAGTCGTGTGGATTTCTTTGTTGTAAGTGGTAACCGTCTCATCTGAAGCCACCGACACGAGTCTTTTAAACAGAACTATAGGTTCTTTTCACCAAGTTTGCATAAAGGTACCCTCACCCTGTTTTTGGTTTGGTTATTGTGTGAAAAGCATTCCTGACCACCACACAAGTGGGATCCATAAAGACTTATGTGCCTAAAGGAGTGTTAAGGTGAACTACTTTTTTTTTTTTTTTTTAATGTTTTGTTTGGGGGTGGGGTGGGTGGGTGGGGGGGGTGATGTCATGTTAACACCAGTTTTGCTCATTTTAATGTCACAGGTCCAAGGCTTTATTTTTCTGACCACAGTTTTGTAAATTCAGATACCAGTGAAGTGTTTCTCCCTCCCTAACAGAGTCTCATGAGGTAGCGAAAGGCTGCTACACTGTGATTGTCTGCTCAAGAGTAGAGTGGCCTGGTGGCAGAAGCATCTCTAATCTTTCTGTTTCACTTTCTTTAATGTTCATCTGGCGTTTGTTCACTGTCCAGGCCTGTATACAAGTGAACGGTAATGGTGATCTTGCCAAGCTGAGTTACGGTTCATTTGCAGGACGTGAACAAAACTTTGGAAAATGTTTTACTTTGTTGACACGAGCGGCAGAAGAGCAACAAGGGTGAAGATTCTGTAAGAAAACAAAACAGTATGTTAAGCCATATGTGGAGTTTGGAGGGTTTTTTTGCTCCAGTAGAAATGACATCCAGGTCACACTGAAGCTTTTCATGAAGTGGTTGATCTAACACAGTGAGGTCTGTACAGAGATGGATCACAGAATGGGGGGGGAAGCAAACGCAGCTCGTACTGGCTTTGCTAGAAATCTACAATATTGTCACTTGAGTGACGGAGTAGGACCATCGTCTCTCTTCCATCCAGAATCCACTGATTAAAAGTATCCTACCTGTCAGATGCATGGTACACTATCTCCTGGCTTTAAGTATATGTTGGCCATCGGACAATCTTACACACACTGTCGAGGATCTATCTAACAGTCGTAGTAATAACTGTATTATGTGATTCATCTGTGGTGTTAAACCAGCTTGTTAATAGTTTCCATCACCACTAGTCTCCACGCCCCTTCGTGTTTAAGTAGACGGCTGTTTTATAGGGTGGAGGTTGTTAACGTCGCGATGACGGCGACAGTCAGGACAGTCATTTCAGTGACGAGCTTCCTCAAACATGAAGTCATCAGGTGGAAATTGAGGTGATACTTTTTTCTGTCTGGGATATTGTCAAAGCGAAATTGTTTCTGTTCTTACACGTTGTGACCCAGTTACTACGTCTCATATATACGGGCTGTTTGACATCACTGTTGACCACTTTCCAAAGCAGAATGTGTGTTATTTGTGAAATACTTTTTCCTACAGACAGCGGTTTCCATTCATTCGACCGCGGGATGACGCGAACGTTAAGAGACCGGACATTTCCATCTCTTACACTGAAGAGTATTTATAGCGTTTGTCAGGTCAACACTTCTTCTCCCGGCTTGAGTAAAAAAAACAATTAGAAAGCCAATTACAAATGTCTCACACCCCCAGATTAGTTTCATTTTCAAACATTTCAGATTTGTCCAGCTCCCTCTCGGCTTTATACAACTTTGTTTTTTAATGCATGTAATTGACTTGATGTGTAAAATCAGTGCAGTTCCCCTTTAAGCAAATATCAAATCTTTGCAACTTGGATTTTGATGCCACGCAGAAAATAATGTGAACCAGTTGCTGCCTGGAAGAGAAACTCATTCAAACTCATATGATTTGCTTTGGAAATTGGTTTTCAGTTGTTCATGCTAAGTTGACGCGATTGGTAGTAAAGTGGCGAAAAACGTGCAAAAACCAGTACAGTCCCTAAACAAGCTGCATTGTCGTCCACATAATGATTTTAAATGTTTCCATCATGTCTTGGCAAGTCATCTTTAAGATCTTCCTCACACAGTATTGCCTGGTCAGGTTTACATCAGGTCGTTTTTCATCTAAACTCAGAACCTGACTCCACAACCACAACACTGTTTTGTCTTTGTCGTTTTTCTGGGAAAGCCTGTGCACTCACACATAAGACAAGTCTCCTATGGATTCACTTGCACAAGTCAAAGTTTTTTATGTAGAGAAGTCGAACTGACATTACTTGATAGTTTGTTTTTTTTGGCCACAACTATGGGTCCTGTGAGTATTGACCATAGAACTGACAAGGGTACATTAGGTAGCCTATGATTACGTTAATGGTTCCAGTCGTATGCAAGCCTATTACACTAGTTGTGTCCGGTTACTTTGAAGAAAGGAGTTAGGAATTTGGATGTTAAATGTTTGGAATCTTTTGCTGGTAAAAGGATCACCATGTTGTGTGATGATTTAATGTCATAAAAAAGGTCAAAAAGGATCGATACTGCATTCTCATGAAAATTCATTTAGGCCCTGAGGTATAACTGCCATGTTAGTTGCATCACCAACGCCAACAAAAGTGCCTTCTGTTTGATCACTAGGCCTTGAGCCAAAGACGAGCAACAGTAATAGCCTTGTAAAACGAAGAATGGTAACTGTAACGGGCACTTTTGCTTGCCTTCCTTAAAATGTAATTGAGAAATTGGTTAATTCCCAAAGATTTAATATCCAATGTCAGTGCAAGAATCTACTCAGAAATTGCCAGACAAAATGCCCTGTCAAATCAATGGCCGTTCCTTTTTTCCTTCAAGTCCACTATATAATTTTGATCTTTATTTCGTCTAGCTAGGACATGTTTGTTAGCTAAATTACACTCTGTTAAACTACACGATTGTAATGTTCTTTTTTCATCATTAATTATGCCCTTTAGCTGTATAGACTGTTAACATTCTGGGTTATTTTAGTTTAAAAAATAAAAACAAAAACGTTGAGGGGTTGGAGGGCTAGGAATCCATGTGTCAGCATAAAATGTTTATTAAATTTCTTTGTGGAGGAAAACTTACCGGGTTTGCTTCTGTATTGCCAAATATGTTTTAAAATGCTGTATTTTCTTACATGGAAAAAAGTGTTACAGGAATGGTAGGAGGGTACGAAAAAAGTAATCTGTTTAAATCCATCTTATCTTAAGGGAAAACTGTGGAAAAGGTTGACATGAGTACATTTTTAATTGTGTCATTGTCATGTGGAAATTATCTACCATTAAAACATTCCCTCTGAAACGACCCGTCATCTTCACTTATTTGAATGACATTAAATAATAACGTTAACGGTGAGTGACTAAACTGAAGGAGGGATACTGTTGTTACTATGACGCCTATAGTCAGATGCCTGTATGAACACTGAAACAGGTTTAGTTTACCATCATCACTCCTGTTCATACTGGCTGTTCTCTCTAAGCATTAACGTATCCGAGAGTTGATCTTAAATGAAAACGAGGCTTCAGCTGTCTAATATAAATTAAGTCTTTTTAATACTAAATCTCTATTTGTCTGTCCCTCACAGTTCAGAAAGGAAACTATCTGGTGAAACACAAACAGTGAAAACATTAATCGTGAATGATCCACTTGGTTTGACTCAGTCAGCTGAAGATTCATTTTATCTTCAGATAAACTTTGGACATCATTCTTGAACAGAACTAGAACTTTAGGTTTCGTGCCCAAGTCTCCCAGTGGATAATGTGACAGGATCACTGACTGGCCACTATGAACTTTACAGCAAGAAAAACCTGTTTCCATGTTCATATGGGCACCGGACCATTGTTCCGAGACAGACGTGAAAAACTGAACTTATCCTTTACGTTTGAGATCCAGGTTCAGTTTGAAAACTCCTGCAGAGCCACAGAAATCATTCTTCTCAGATCGAGTAGCTCTGCCCACGACGAGTAACCTGAACTTCATGGGTCAAACTCATTCTAACAATTTGTTATCAGGTATTTTATCTTGTCTTTTTTTTTTTTTTTTTAGCAAAGAACAATGTAAAGGATTCAGATTTAATCATCAAAGTAAATACTGGATGCAGAAGCAATAAAATGTTATTGAACATGATATTAAAAACATACAGTTTCCCTCCAGTAGCTAAATGAACTGATGTCAGTGTGACCAAGAAAAAGTATTGAATGTGGATCAGCGCTGATCCTGATTCAGTTTATTGGATTAGTTTTAATGTTTAAAAGAATGGCGTGTTTAATGACACATGAATAAAGTTATGAAACACAATTATTGTGTAAACAGCAATAACAGCTGGAACAAATCCAAACAAAGCATTGCAACGAGAGAAAAAAAAAGTGCCCGAAAAGGCTTTTTATTGCTTCTCACATGATGACAAATGAAAGAACTTCATTAAATGTCTTGTAAGTTAATATTCTGTTTGAAAAGAAAAGAAAAGTGGAATTTGAATATTCAGTATTTGCCCACAACACAAAGGTCAATCATGTAATGAGGCCAAAAGCACAAGCAGATAGTGACAGTGAAAAGATTAGAGTAACGCCACCGTCAACAATCAACACGTCACTTCAACCTCTAGTTTAAACAGCGGCACCCAAAGGTCTGAGAGCGGAAACATCCAGTCACAGCGGTTTGGAGAGACAGCATGAAGACTGTAACGTGTACGTCAGCGTGCTCTACAGAACTGCTCTGACAGTAATGTTGAAAATGATAAAATCCTCTAAGCCTCTGTTTGCATCAACAGAGCTGTTCACTGTTTTCTCTTTAATACTTGATTCATATCAAAATTGATTTTTCTTCAGTTGATTTTCATATATGTATAAAAATAAAGCACTTTTATGATAAGATTCAGCATTGTGATCCACATTAACGTTACATGTATAAAGTTTTTGAAGAATCCTAAAAACACGCAGTCAGATCAGATTGTTGGCACAAAGCCCAGATTTGACTTCCAGCACCGGTGTTTTATCAAACTCCTGATCGTTACTCTTTCCTTAGAGGAAGCAGGAGAGGAGCTAGTGTGGGACCTTCTTTCCTGCACAGTATCTTTGTAAAGTTATGTCCTTTGTCTGCCAGGTGAGCTCATGTGATCTGCCTGGAGAAAAGGTCAGAGCTAATCTCTGATGCAGAAGGCCTTGATTGGTTTTTGACCTGACCTTTTTATGACAGCAGTTTAAAACACACCACCTCATATCTGTGCCAGAATATCCTGTAACAACTAAATGAACCCCCCCCCCTCAGTCTAAACTCGGGTGTGTCCTCAGGAAACCATATCACAATTACTATTAGAAATTGTGAATTCTTCGAATGATGAAGCTCTTTGTAAATCAGCAACAAAAACATTTTATATGTTTCCAGATTGCTGTTAAAAACATGAATGTAGTGGTGGTGGTGGTTGATGAGTGCAGACCACAGGAATAGCATGGCTAAGTTGTGTTTCATGGTGGTTTGACCTGAGGTGCACACACACTGAAATGGTTTCAAATGAAGTTTTCAACACTGGATTTGAAACTGACTGAATTTTACCAGCATTTTCCCACAAGGCAAAGTGCTCACATGACGTCGAGGCCGTCCTGGACCGGGTGCCCCAACAGCGGCGGGTGTCAGAGCGAGCAGGGGTACTTGGTCCATGGGGGGAGTCTGCCCGTCTCGTTGGCCAGTCTCCAGTACCTCTCCTTCAGGAGGAAGGCAGCTGCTTTGGGCTGCCTTTGCCTGCTGAAAACACCCTTCTTGTTCCCCACCACACGGGTGATCCCTGCACACACGAGACATCTTTCCATTATAATAATATTTTAAATATAACTTTATTCAACTTCTGACAATTAGTAATTTTATATGCTCAATAATCATCAATCATTATAATGTACAAGAAAGAAACCAGGTTACTAATTAACCAGTTAACCAGGTCATTAATATTCCTGTATGGTTCTGACCTCAGGTTTGTTCTGACTCCCAGTCTCAGTTTTGTGCTGAGCTGCAGGTGTCACTTACAGATGTCCTGACCAGGTTTTATCATCCAATTATTATTTTAACTCTATTTTTAAATCACTTTTCCTTTATTATACAACTTATCGTGCACATTGACAGCCGGCATTACAATAAGTAAAAGTACTTTGATATGTTTTACAGCTGAATAGTTCTGCAATAAGAAAATATAACCTGCTGATTTTCTGTAATATTCTGTACAGTGTATTTTAGTATTGTTCATCATATTTTTCTCGATATTGAAGAGTTCCTGGTGCAGGTCTGGATCATGTTATGTTTACATGGAGCATGATTCGTAAGCTACATGATTCCTACACAGCAATGTCCACGCAATAAGCAGGTTAATGATATGACAGTGAGAACCCCCCCCCCCCCCAGTGTGTCCCTCTCAGGATCAGCTGTTCAGTGCAGGGTGTGTTTTTTCTCTATAAACTGGGAGAGTTGACAGTTGAGGCTCTGCAGGTCGTTGTGATGTGTGTCTGTCGTACCTTGTGCAGTCATGAAGTCAGCAAAGTTCCAGATGAGTTCACCGACAACGTACTGCTTCCTCTTCTGGTCGAACACGTCGTGGTAGTTCTGCAGGACTATCTTCTGATACTCCTCACTGAACATCATGGGTGGATCCTGGGAAGTGAGAAGCAAGCTGCCTCATGAGCAAACAAAAAATAAATATAAATACTGTGTGTATGTTTGTGAATCCTCACATTGTGAAGCCCCGACACTGCATCTGCTCCATATTCGCTCTGGATGATGGGTTTCTGGTACTTTCCGTACCAGTTCTCAAACTGAGTGTTGAGCTGGATGGGGATGACCTCTAAGTGTCCCGGATCATGGTACCAGGAGAAGTAACTGTTTACACAGACCACATCCACATAAGGAGCCTGAGGACAAGACGAAAGATGATACGTGACTTGTAGAGATACTCTCCAACACATCCGTGACTTTCATGTTGTTAATCACAGTTGGATCAAATTTACAAATAAAGGCTGATAGTGACAATAACATCAACTTCTCACAGATTCATTTATTCATTCATGTGCACACAGGGAATTTTCAACTAGTGGTAATTAGCTATTAAGAAAAAATATGTAGCATTATTCATGTGACATTGTGTCTTTGCCTTTTACACCTTTGCAAATATGAGGAACTATGTGTTGTCTGTCTGTCCGTCAGAGTTTGAACAGTGAATTCAGAGGTGCTGTATTCACTCTGCCAAATTACAAACCTTTCCAAACTAATCAGTGGCTTTGAGCTACAAACATCGCCCTGAAAGCTTTTTCCTCACAGCACAGGACACAACACAGCACAGCTTCAGAATTTGAACAGATAAAACTCTGACAGATACCTCCACAACTCCACTTTTAATCCCTTATTGTTCATCTGGCACTTAATCTGATTCACTAGAGGCCGTTATGTTCATGTATTCAGTCACGTGTCATGATCTGACCTGCAGCACTGAGAGGCACACGACTAGTCTTACTCAGAAATATCGTTTAGAACATTTAGAACATTTCAGTATAATGTGTCTGATACTTCATCAGTGCCTAAAAACATGTTTCTGCATCACCTTCCAACTGAGTGATTGGATATTTTACTCGACGTGGGTGGGGCTAACGGTCACATCGCTTACTTCTGGGCACCAATCAGGATTTAGCATTTTGAATCAGAATCTGATGACAGACATGTTGCTGTTTGTTCATGCACAATCAGTCAAATCTGATCACGCCACACCCACAGTCCAGATCAAGCAGATTATTTGAGTTCAATTATGTAATAGTGACAAAGCATGTTTTCTCCAAAGTTGAACTTGAATATTTATTTATTTAGTCATGAATATTCAACGTTAAGACTCTAAACCAATTTTTCAAGCGCTTTAAAATGTTGATGCACAATTCAGACCAAATGAGAAGGATTAAAATGATTGTTATCAAGCATTTGATATTTGCTCATTAATGATAAAAAATGTGAAAGGTTTCATATCTGACCATAAAATGTAAACTGTTAGTATCTCACACTATGTTTACTGCGTTACACCTGTAACCAGACCCCACAGTGATGTCATGGGGTACTGACACGCCCTGAAGTGCACGCCTACATCACTGCAGCAAGTTAATAAGTTCGCGAAAACAAGATTTCCAGTCGGTGTTGTTACTCTTACTAAAGAACAAAAACCTTTTACACTCCCACTGCAAATAAAAAGTCACACACTTGCATCAATAAAAATAATTACTACAAATATTCCAAATAATAAACATGAGAGCCGATGTCCTGTGCAGGTTTGCAGGTTGGTTACTGTGGATACTGTGTGATGAGTGGTGTAAAAACTCACCCCTTTGTCCCGAGCGTAGTTACTGTCAGTGATGTAAGTGACGGGCCGGGTCGGGTCCAGAGCTTTAGTGTGTTTTATCAAGGTCCTGTAAGAAAAACAAAGGTGACTGAACAGTGAACGTGGCGTGTGAGGTGTTCAGGTGCGTTACATCGACATGATGATGAATAATCACAACGATGGCACCGCTAACAGTCGATTCAAACTGTCCTGTTATATTTATGTAATCCAAAGAAACTGTGCTTTGTTCTTCATTCACACCTCACCGCCTCTCTGAATGAGTGCGGCGGTTTGGCAGGTCCACTGTTTGTTCGCCCCGTTTGTCTCCCTGAGGCCTCAGGCCATAACTGAGCTCCAGCTGTTGGTGTTCAGGGCGGCTTCATGACTACTCTTACTGCATTCCAGCCATCAGGGAAAAGGGATAGGCTGCGACTGACAAACAAACCAGAACCTCTGCTACTGACACACAGACAGTTAAATGCTTTACTTTTTTTTTTTTTTTTTTTTACAGGTTTCAAGAGCGTCCTGGTTGCTCAGTTCTTTGTCTGTCAACTATCAAATAAAGATAAAAAAAACCCCCAACAGTCACTTTGAGTGTGAACAGTTTAATGGGTGGATGCATTCAGTGCAGTGCTCAGTACTCACTTGAAATAAAATTCAGCAGGGGGCATCTCTGCAGCGGGCTCATTAGCGATGGACCACATGACCACAGACGGATGGTTCTTGTCCCGACGCACAAGCTCATCCATGACATCCAGGTGATGGCTGAGGGAGGCGTTTCCAAAACTTCGACTAAGTACAAAAGACACAGACAAACATACCATCACTCCATACCATACCATGATTCATCATCATGCCAGGTTACACACACATCAACATCTGTAAGTAAGAACAGTGGAGACACCTGACAGCTGTTCTGCTGATCAGTGACAGATTAAAACAACAAGTTGTCTCATGACTCTGTGTAGGAATGTTTTGTATTTATCTCATATCTTGAAGGACAGGTTCACACAAGTCTGTTTTAAATGATATTCACATGCACACATGTATGTTGAGAATGTAATGATTCCTCCTGTCCACACTGGCTGTAAAGAGATCTCCTCCTAACACAAATCCTCAACACAAGTAAATACCAAGACTATGAGGCTACTGTCCTGCTGGCAGCTCTGTGAGGCTGTACTCAGGTACAGCAGGACTTTGAGCTAAATGCTAACGGCAGCATGCTAACATGTTGATGTTTAGCAGATGTTGTGTCCATCATGATGACTTATATTAGTTCAGTTTGGTAGCATGCTAACAGTTTCTAACAGGGTTCACACGCCTTCTTAAGTGTCAAGTTCAAGGACTTTTCAAGGACTTTCCAGGCCTAATTCCCTCAAATTCAACAACCAAACATGTTAAAACTAATAATTTTTATACTGAGAACCAGCAGACTGTGCAGAAGCTCACAGACAACAATTAAAGAGAAAAAGAGGCTTGAATGTGTGAACACTTCTCAGCTGTGCTGTTACAGTGATCAGTTACAGCAGACGGTGTTCTCTCGCCTTCTCCAACAGCACAGCAAATCAATATGTTGTGTAAGTTGAGCAACAGAGACAGAGACTTATTTACAAGTGGAAGAGCTGAGAGACAGAGGGAGACACATGCAGACATCAGCACGCAGCGTGTTTACTAACATCAATTTATATTTTTGCACAAGATATATAAATTCAAGCACTTTTAATGCCCAGTGTAAATTTTTGTCTACTTGTTTTTTTTCTCAATTCCCCAATTTTAAAGGATTTCAAGGACCCGTGAGAACCTTGTCTTTAATTAGCACTAAACAAAGTACAGCTGAGGCTAATTATTTCATTCGTTTTGGAGGTATTTGGTCAAAAAACAAAGTTTTGGACAAACTGACTTTGACCTGTGATGGGATCATCGAAGTGATTGGAGTTCATTTTGATGGGGACATGAACGTGTGTACCAAACTTCATGCTACTCTGTCGAGTAAATGTTGAGATATTAAAAAGTGAAAGCTTTAATCTGAAGCATAAATCTGAGGAAACAAACAAACCAAATCTCATGTCACATCATCTGGTGGTTGTTGTGATTTCGATCTGTACCTACAGACATTTAACTGACAGACTGAAAACACTGGCCTGTTTTTGATCAAATCAAACTGAAGCAAACTGTTTTAATTAGTTGTAACTGGATTAAATTTATATGGAGATTGTTTTGTGTGTGGGTGCGTCCAGTCTGTGAGTCGGCAGGATCTCTCAACAGCATTCGACTGTTCTCACTTAGAGCAACACATTATATATGAACCATCACCCTGTCTAATTTAACAGCAGAAAGGAGGTTTTCAAAGTAAGATGTTTATGCTGCTCTGAACTGTCAAACACAGCCAAAGCTCACAGAGACACTCACATGTCTTTGATGCCCACTCCCGGACACTCATCTATCACTACGATGCCGTGGCGATCACACATCTGCAGGATCTCCTCGGCATAGGGGTAGTGACTGGTGCGGAACGAGTTGGCCCCCAACCACTTCAGCAGGTTAAAGTCCTTGACGATCAGGGGCCAGTCCAAGCCTTTACCTCGAATCTGACGCACGAGGTGAACGGAAGATGAGGATTAATTTACTGAACTGGATCCAGCACATTTTGTCCTGTACATGTCTATATGTAAAAGGTTGTCTGAAGGTGCTGGCTAGGTTAAATGTTAGAACAGGTATGCTGCTTTGTCTTTTGGTAAAGCTTTTGCTTCCCTCTAGTGGTACTCACATCAGCATCCTCATGTTTATTGACTCCATGGAAATAGAAGGGCTTGTTGTTGATGAGGAACTGGGTGCTGGTAACGTTAATAGTGCGGATGCCGACCGGCAGAGTATACACATCTTCATACGTTGATCTCCCATCGGCTGCCATCAACCGAACCTGGAGGTCGAGGAGAACGAGTGACAATTTCAGAAATGTTTATTTTCTTGATAACTCCGCTGAGTGAAACTCTTCCCAACAAAAACAGCTCATTAGGAAGCTCGTTCACAACGTAAAGTGTTGCAGAAATCACAACTGTAGAGGATCAGAGGACGAGAACAACCAAGTGACATATGATCATTTTCCAGCATGTACAGTACATGTGCGTACACAAGGTAAAGTTATAAGCAAAACATTACTGGTAGGTGTAAAAAAACACCTTTGGTACTGTCGCTTAGAACATCTGTTTCTAGGTTATTTCACTTTGAGAGATTTACAGTCAAGACTTCTTTTAGGATACTTTCAGGTGCCATTAGAAGCAGCAGTGATTGTCTCAAGCCGCACAGAAACTTCACATAGACTGAGTTTATGTGATTACAGAAGCTGCTCTCATGAGAGTCAGATTTAAACGTGTAGAAGCTGCTGACACAAAGATATTTGTCAGCACGGAAGAGAACGATGCACTAAAACTAAAAACATCTGGCGGGTTCCAGTTGCTGAATCAGTGGAAAGTTTAGGCTTATATCAACGGTTTAACTGTAACGAAGCAAGAAAGAAGAATCTGTGTCAGGAGTATGTTCAGTGCTGGGTCACACAGAAACAGGTGGATGTTTGCATCTGACTACAAGTCAAAACCAGCTTCATGTTTCTATGACAACAGACGTGTTCTGTTTCAGGCAGACATATAAATGTCTGGGTCTGAAATCCCTTTTCTATGTAACTGGATTCCAGATAATTTAGTGGCATATAAATGAATGTATGAACTAAATTAATTATTATATATTGATTCATGATCCATTATGCGTTAACTAATCATATAAACTCATAGTGACTTGATTATTTATTAACGATGAGTAACAGAAATTCATGATATATCCTAAATTAATTTGTGCATTAAATGATCAAAGTTATGAATTACTGAAACATGTCTTTTGTATCCTTGTTTTAAAACGTTCCTGATGCTTTATTTCCAGCATAACTGTGTAAGTTTTACATCATGTTATAATTATATCTCTTCAGTTTGACCACGAAGTGGAGGATGCAGTGTTGATCTTCCTGGTGGTAAATGTTGACGGCATGAAACACCGACAAACTAGAATTAATAAAAGACGATTCTTTCTGACCACTCTCACAAATCCAGTGGTCACAATGTTCATGTGACAGGAATCTGAAACTTTAGGTAAGAAGTCACTTCGACATGTCTTACCTCCAAAGAGTACAGATAACCTGGAGTCTCATGCATCAAGTATGGCCACCACAGCTTGACATCCACCACTTTGAGGACTCCAGATTGGTCGCTGGAGGAGGCGACACAGTGTCTGTCTTTGTCCATCAAAGTGACCTTCAGGGTGGCTGTTGTAGCACCTTGGACTGATACTTGGTATTTAACCAGACCTGAAACACAGGAGAAACAGCAAGGTCTAATAAACAGACATAAACTATCAGACAGATGTTGATGATATTCACTCACTCTATGGTTTTTAAATAAGTCACCACTTTATAATTGTGAAATCGAATTAATTAGTTGTTACATTGTATTTCGTTGCATTTATTTACCAGTGTTATCCAAGAAGTCAGTCACCACAGTGATGTCACTCACATACGCCTGAGGAGTGGTGTACAGCAGCACAGGGCGGTGTATCCCAGCATAGTTGAAGAAATCAAAGTAGATGTTTTGCACAAAGAAACCAGCAGGATACCTGATGAGAGATTACACTTTCCTCATTACATGAACACTCACCGACAGGAAACTGTACCATTTTAATCTCATCCAAATTCTACATAAACTAGAAAAAGCAAAGTTCTCTGAATAAAGAAAAGATCAGTTGACAACGATGGAAATAGCATTTTACTTAATGTATTAGAATAACAGTAATAAGTAAAGTTAAAGCAAAGAAAGGAGTTGAAGTGCAAGAAGTGACAGGAGACATAATAAAATAAGAGAAATGTCATTTAAATTAAGGTTTAAGAGCTGAAAGCAGCTGAAATGTAATTTGAAGTGTCACCACTGTGTCAACACTAAAAACAGTTGAAGCGTAATGATTGACTGCAGCTGAACTGTCTTCTCAGTTTTTAAATGGGTATACAGTAAAGATAAAGTCACAGTCAAAGTCAAAAAACAATTAATTGGCAACTATTTTGATAATCAATTCATTGTTTCAGTCATTTTAAAGCAAAAATACCAAAAACATTCACTGTCTCCAGGCGCTGAAATGTGAGGACTTGTTGTTTTGTTTGTTATATATGGTGGTAAACTGAATATTTCTGAGTTTATAATTGTTTATTAAATAAAAGAAACTATTAGAAGTCGAGCTGGGATCTGAGGAATTACTGTGGGCACTTTTTCACTACTTTCTGAAATTTCATAGACAAAGCAATGAGTCGCTTAATCATGAATATAGTTTGCTGATTAATTGGTAATGGTAATGATTGTTCACCAACGTTCAAATCTGAAAAAAGACATTAATAACTGCTATTTCTCATAAACTTTAAAAGATATTAAAAAACTGAAAAGATGTTTTAATGTGAAAGGGTCATGGTGTGTTTAAAGATTGTGCTTCAGATCAAGCTTGGAAAAGGATGTATCACCTAAATGCTGAAAAGATAACTAATGACTTCACTAATGAAGCTTTAGTATCACATCAGTGTTTTAATTAAAGCTATAAAGAGAAGTTACTTGGTTCGGTCGTCCATGTGCTGGATGATTCCTGGAGGAAGAGTCTCCAGGGTCAGAGTGTTGTTGACAGCGATGGTGATCCTGCACGGCGTGCTTGGGTCCTTGCGGATTAAACTGCCAATCTCAGCCTCAAAAGGAAGATGGCCACCTTTATGTTCGGTCACTTTCACCCCGTTCAGCCACTGTGAAGGTAAAGGCAGATGTTGAAGAAGCAGGTGACTTTTATTTTTCAACTCTGAGTGGAGCTGACTGGGAAGATACACGTGATACTCACCACCACTGAGTAATAGTGAGCACTTCCCACTCTGAGAACCACTCGTGTTCCTTCATCTGCGACCCAGCGGGCAGGGACCACTACCTCTCGCTCATACCACACCCAGCCAATGAAATCTCTTAGTGTGGGGTCCTGGGTGATGTCATTATAGCTGGCAGGAACTGGCATGTCAATCACTGGGCCAGTCTAGGAAAATAAAACCATCCATGGTCACAACCTCACAACAAAGTAGACTGCTTAATTTTAAGGGGTCAAAAGCCATACATGTTGGGACCATGGTATCATACCATGTTTGAGTAAGATATATGAACATGAGAGTGTGATATCATGTTGGACATGAGATGGTAAATAATGATGTTAGTTCTGTGGTATGACAGTAAGAGGCTGATAGCAGTAAGTCATACCTATAATATCACTGCAGCATATGGACTTACAGTGTTAGTGTGATGAGGGCAGCAAGTTTGTGCAGACTTTAAAATACTTGGTGTTTTGCAGCTGCAGCTGGTGTGCTGTGTTTTCAGCCCATACACTGGCTGCATGATGTTTACAGGCTCTGACCAAGTAGTTTTAGAACCTAAACCTAACCAAGGAGTTAAACCTAACCAAGTAGTTTTAGTGACTAAACCTAACCAAGTAGTTAGTTAACCTAACCAAGTAGTTTTAGTGACTAAACCTAACCAAGGAGTTAAACCTAACCAAGTAGTTTTAGTGACTAAACCTAACCACGTAGTTAGACCTAACCAAGTAGTTTTAGTGACTAAACCTAACCAAGTAGTTAGTAAACCTAACCAAGTAGTTTTTGTGACTAAACCCAACCAAGTAGTTAGTAAACCTAACCAAGTAGTTTTTGTGACTAAACCTAACCAAGTAGTTTTTGTGACTAAACCTAACCAACTAGTTAGTAAACCTAACCAAGTAGTTTTAGCGCCTAAACCTGACCAAGTAGTTTTAGTGACTGCCAAGCCAAGCCATGACCATTATAGTAGAGGGGCGCTGTTTCAGCAGACACTCCCATGGGTCATATCAGAGGGCTGAAAAAAAACGACCTATATGATTGTTTTAGTTGGAGGACTGGTTGGTCTTAAATGTACCTGATTGAAAATGACTGTGAGTTACTTTGAGGGACTCTTTTCAACTGTCAAACAAACAGCGAGCTGCTTCATTGTGTCCCGCTCACCTCTGCCAGGCGACTTTTGTACCATGCCCTCTCGAAGCCCTGGTTCCTGTTTGCGGACTTGTCCGCCCTGAAGCTCCACAGCCCGCTCAGCTCCTTCAGCTCTCTGGAGGAGGACTCCCGGGGGAAGAGCATGCCGCTGTCCAGCAGACACACCGCGTCAAACACGGAACACAGACACAGGGCACCGAGCAGCCCGAGTCTTCCAAGGGGAGACATGCTGGACCAAAAGTCTCAGCTCCCAGTCTCAAACACACTCCGCGGTTATCGCTGCTCATCCAGTCACATGATTTATTCTGCAGTCACGTGACCGGCTTCGCCTCTTGCGTTGCCTTCCGATACAGTCGGAAATTCCCCGCTAAAATAGCCAATATAATGAAACATTTTATAAAACACCATATTATGCCCCACCCAGTAGTGAATGTAATGCGAAACTGATTATTTTATAAATGTAAAATACATTTAATATACATTTATATTTTTGGAAGTTATAGCTCACAGGAAGCATCTGAAGCATCATGTCCCCACCAAATTAAAAGCCCCGGCCTGGCTATAGTCAAGGCCGTAAAAGGAAAAGACACAAAGAGGACTCACATTCATCAAAATTTTCTCACCACTGGTTTAAAGTCGTCACTCAGTGCTGCACCAGAGCATGCATGACACAAGATGGCGCCAGACACGCGTACATCAGTGTGAAGCATAGACGCGTCAGTTCAGTGACTTTGTGTCTAATAGCGCCTCCACATCCACAAACCTCCCTCCAGTTTTCAAAAGCCATGGATTGATTGAGATGCTGCGTGGCCCGGGGCAACCATCTGCTCTTTGACTCCTCTGTTTATGGTGATTTTATAATGATAACAAAAACTTTATTCAAGAAAAGTAGAAAAGACAGGTAGTAAAGTGGGGCAGGCTGGAGACCCTCTCCACTTGTCTTCTCCATCTGTGTCTCCTCTCATGTGCTGCCATCTGTCTACCATTAAAGTGCCAATAAAGGTATAAAATGAGATCACTGTCACCTCAGCCAAGGAGGTCATGTTTTCACCTGTGTCTGCTTGTTTGTTTGAAAAAAAAAAAAGTACTGGACTGATTTGCATTGAACTTGGAGGGAGGGGGCAAGGGCCAGGGAAGAACCCATTAGATTTTGGGGCAGATCCAGATCATTTATTATGAATTTGATTTTTTTTCCTCTAAAGTCTGGTCTATGTTGTTTGACATTGGCCTTGGTGGAGGTCTGCTCCCTCTGAGTGCCTTCAGTTGTCAGTTTTTTGGACGGCCAGTATGGCTGAATCATGATGGAAATACTGGGACTATACACTGCAGTGTGTTTGGAGAGAGGGGTTTGCTATGATCTTAATGTGATAAATAGAGAATGTTATATTGTTATATTAACCCACTTACAGATACCTAATATCTGCAGATTTTTGAACAGAACAGGATTAAAACCCTAAAACACAACAGTCTTATCATGATGTTTCTTTCTATTTTAAATGAATATACACCTTTTGACATGAGGTGGCTCAGACATCTGATTAGGATTCCTCCTGGGCGCCTTCCTTTGGAGACGACCGACTGGGAGGAGACCCCGGGGTAGACCCAGAACTCGCTGGAGGGATCACATATCCCAGCTGGCCTGCATGGGAACGCCTCAGGATCTTCCAGGAGGAGCTGGAAAGCGTTGCTATGGTAAGGGATGACTCACCTTGCTCCGCCTGCTGCCACTGCGACCCGACCTGGATAAGCAGAAGAAAATAGATGGATGGACTTTTGACATGAAGGAAAAGCTGAAAATGCATCAACCTTGTCACAGGAAGAATTTGTTGAAACTTTGTTTGTAGTTTTGTAGGTTGGCTTCCACATGGCACACATCAAGTTCTGTTAATACTTTAAGTCACTGTCTTATTCTCAACCCAGGTATGTTTCCTGACCTTGGGTAACATAAATTGGTTTATTCTTTCTTTTCCCACATCATTTCTTAATCCCAGGGGCGGGGTGACTCCTCAGACTGCTGCAGACTGGAAGGCACTGCACATTTTATTATTGTTTGTTTCTTACTTCTTCTGATTCATGTCTGTCATTTTTTAAACCATGTGACCCCTGGGTCTCCTCCAAAAAGGTTTGTCTGATTTATTCTTGGGACACAAGGTCTCTCATTAAATCGAAATATTTCACATTGACCAAGTGGCATACTGTGGTCGGAACATTATTCCCAAGACACAAAGGTAATCAAGTCAGCTGAATTTAATGTTGGAATTTTTTTGTTAACCTTACGCTGTCTGGAACATGAATAGTGAAATTTACTGCGGATCTAATGCACAAACAAGACAGACGTAATGAAGTGCCTCAGAGAGTGACTCCAAACTATCCACAGCTTTGCCATCTGCCTGAAATTAATGTGAAAGGGTAATGGTGAGTTCAGTGTTAATTTCCTGTCTAAGGTCATTTTCCCACCAATCCATTTGAGATGTTTCAAAATAAAAGTTCTTTTAATCTATTTTTGGAGCTATCAACCATCCAATAGTTCCCACCCCACGTCAGTGATGTTCAACTATTGTTGGCTGACAGAATTCAGAGGCAAAAATCAAGTGCAGTCAAGCCAGGAAGGTTTTAAAAAACATTCAAGTTTTATATGATAGTCTGGTGTGAGCCTTTAAAAGGGTGAAAAATCTTTTATGACACAGCCTTTACACAATGAACCTGTGCCAAATCCTGAGTGTTTTCTACTTTTCCATCACCCTTCAGTTGATTTAGGTGAGGCAAGACATTTTTGAGACATCCATGCAGAATTTTGGGAAGCATTAATGAGGCAGGTTGGTCCTTACACGCTTCACAGAGCAACAAATGATCCGACTCTCAGTATCCATCCACAACCTTTTCAGATCAATCTTGTCGTTCCACTGGGCGGCACATAAAGCTGTTTCCTTACACCTGCAGCCTCCTGTTCACACTTTGCAGGTAGTGTTCATTTTCCCTTTTTCCACATTGCTTTGACTCCATCTCAAAGGTTTACTGATGCATCACAGTCACAACATCACGACACATCTCTACATCTTCACCTCAGACCGAACTGCATCAACTTACAGCCCTTTAAGGAAAAAGAAAAATCAAGTGCCGAGCGTCTCAGACTTTCACACATGATGAGTTTGTCTTTGTTTGTTTTTCCATGTAGCTTAAGTCTTTGCAGACATTCCAAGACAGCCCAAAAAAAAAAACACGATGCTCCGAGGAGTTGTGGCTTACAAAAGAAGTCATAACCTTGACTTAGAAGAAAAGCTGGCAGAGGTCGTGGCCTCATCATGGAGGCACTGAAGCAACAAGAGCTTGACTTTGCCAGACGTGAATCTATTAGAGCGCTTTGTCTAAAAGTCCTTTCTGTCCTCTTCCGCTTGCAGCATTTCACTTATTGTCATGTGCATTTGCATTTTACTGGGCTGCTTGAAATTGTTGGATTGATATTAACAGATAGTGATGTGCTCTTGGTTCCTTTCATTTCTGTAAATTACACTAATTAAAGTGGATCATAACAAAGAATCATGTAGGTGTTTCTACCTTATTTAGAGTGCGGTTGGCTCGTTGTGAATCAAATCAGCTTCTGACTGCAAAGAGAAATTTAGGGAAAATAGTTGTCATGTTTATGATATTCAGAATACAAGCTATTTTAGGTTCTGCTGCACAAATGACACATCAACTTTGTTTCAGTCATCCCATCTGACTGTCATTTCATGCTGTAGTTATTTTCATAGTTGACCTGCTTTTAAACTTGTTCTTCCTTTTTTTTTCTTTTGGTTTGTTTTTCATGTTTTTTTCCTGAATAAATTTGTTAGTTGGCAAAAAATAAAAAGCAGTCTGCAGTAAAAACAGTTTTGAAAGGGTGTTCATTCATGCATTATTGATAAGTAAGCAAAGGGGAGTGAGGGAGCGAGAGAGCGAGAAAGAGAGAATAAAGGGGGGACACAATTCCCCAAAGCCCGAAATTTTTGCTGATATGCTTTTCACAGTGGTGCTGCGCCCACTCGACCAGCACATCAGCGCTGAGATAAAACACTGACGTGTTCAGCTGTGAGGAGCAGTTACAGCTCTGACTTCTCACATTAAGTTGTCTTCAACCGAAAGCACATGTGACTTACAAACCACAACATACAGATTTGGAAAAAGAACAGAGATGAAACAAGATTAGTTCAAACGTTCAGAGCACATTAGTCCGCCCAAAGTACAAATGCAATCAATGCCGTAGCTTCTGTGTCAGTGACATTATGATTTAAAAATGATCTAATTGTGCAGGCGTTTTGTATCCTCTGATAACATCCAGCTGATTAGCTATCAGCTCAGTTTCCTCATTGATAGCTTCTTTTTAGTTTTGTGAATGGCCAACACAAGGTTTAGGCATTTGATTAATTGACTGAAGGATTTATTGACTTAAAAAAATCAAGGGATACTAACACGTAAAGTAAAAAACACTTATTTCCAACATGGTCCAAACACAACATGTTTGTCGCTCCTCTGACAAAACTATAACACAACACTGTGTCATCATTCTGCGAGGAGCAGTCACATGGTGTGAGTAGGTTTAGCTGTTTGTGCTGTTTATTTATTGGAAACCAGTCTAATTATAATAATCCAGTTATTAACAGACTGCAGCTAATCAACTGGATCAAGTGTTGTGCGGATGTATTTGTGTGTTTCCTATGGTTCTTTCCACATCCTGTCTCTTTCATTGTCGACAGTGTCCACTCTGCTTGGATAAACATTTACAGCTTGATGGCAAATCTGATAAAGACTCTGAATTAAGTGACTTTTCTCCTGCATCCTTCCGACCGGCTTCACGACGGCTTGTCGGTGCATCTAATTCACTGAGAGACAGGATGTTCTTTAAATTTACTTGTGAGGTTTTTGTGAGAGACTTCAGGTAATAAAATGCAAACTAGCAAAGGAGAGAAGGGACTTTTCTGCATCGTGTCTTTATATCCTGCTCACCAATGTCAGTCCAAGCAGAAGGAGAGGAGGAGAGTTTCTTTGGCTCTCTGCTCGTACTACAAGTTGTGCCCAGTGAACATGTGTTACAAGGTGAACCCGGTCGTTGAGGCAGCTCAGCTCGCTGCGTGTGTTCTCCTCTGTGGAGGCCGCACAGTCCGTCGTTCAACGCACGTGTTGTGTTGAAACACCTGAAATATTTTCAACAGCCCAACAAGAACATCTAATGCAATAAAAAGCATAATACAACCTGCTGAGAGAATACAGCTCTCATCATGTAGTAAATACTGAGCACATAACTCTTTGG